TAGTGTCGAATGTCTCACGTAAGTATGCTTGAGTCCGCTGCCCTCCCTCTCTTGGAAAGAAGACACTCAGAGTAACGTTGTCCATCAGTCACCCTACAGAAAGCCTGGCCACTCACCTACCTGTGCCTCCTACAAAGGGCTGCAGTGTGTTGGAGGACCTAAGTATAGAAACTTTTAACATTTTAATAAAATAAAATGATAAATGTGACATTTTGCACTCTTCTCTGTAGCCCAGGCCCAAGAAATCACCATAGCGTCCATTGTACAAATGCCTTTTACTCTATTATCTAATATACAGTTTAATGGCAACCACACAGAAATCAGTTGTATGCACAAAACTCTACATAAAAGAGATTTGGGAGTGTAAGGAAATGTTTTCCATCCATTCTAAGATATCAGTTGTCAAGTATTTAGGACTCCCTTTCTTCAGAAGGAAGCCAGTAGGTTAGAAACAAACCCAGCTCCCTTTCAACCTTAGCTTGACCTGGCCTGCAGAACTATGTAAACATGAGCTAATTACAATGTCGAGCATTGCATAGGATTTCTCTCTCTCTCTCTCTCTCTCTCTCTCTCTCTCTCTTGACCCAATGTCAGGCTAAACTTGACCAATAGTATCAGCAACAGAACACCTTCCTTGCTTGCTTAAGAAAATGGTTACAGTTATTTCTCTAAGTCCATTTGAGAATTCATTAGGATTCTGGTTAGTGCCTAGGCTGCGTGGAGCCTTGGGGTCCATTCCAAACTCTGCCAGAAGCAAGCTAAAACAAAACATGGATTATTATGGGCTGGCCTTATTATTTGCTATCATAGCCTAAGTATGATTATTAAACATGCTTATTAAAAACAGAGACTTACTGCAAGAGCGTTGTCTCCCAAGCTGTTTCACCAAACGAAGTGCACACTTGATTCCCAGGGGCACAAAGGGGCTAAGTCAACAGCTGGTCCTTTCTCCTACCTTTGTGTCTCCTACAGAGTCTCCACATAGCGTTCCCACAGGGACACACACACACACACACACACACACACACACACACACACAGACATGTTCTGTTGCTGATTCCTTGGTTTGTTTGGGAACTGCTTAGACTGAGAGTTATGGCTTCAAGTTACTCTATTTGTTCTTCCAGCTTCTTGGAAGGGTAAACAATTTGAAAAGTTAAAGCCAGTAGCAAAATCAACCAGCAGCTAACCACTCTAACTTCATTCTTATCCAGGCCTGCTCGACTGTTTGGGGAGGTGGGTAAGAAAAGAAGTGCTGTGCTGTGCTGTGCTGTGCTGTGCAGTGCGGCGGGGGCACGTTTTGACTCCATGTTTTCTGCTCCAGGTTGGAACCTTGTCACAGCCAGCATGTTCTAAACGCTGAATCGGGGGTACACTAACAGGTGTGGGTGAAGGCTTCCTGGGGAAATTCAGTGTATAATGCCATCACTTTCTTCTTTGGTCTCTTCCTCTGTCCTCACCTTCCCGAACTCTCGTGCACACCTGAGGGGAGAAAATGGACAGTTTGCTCTACAGGCAGGCAGGGACAAGGGTCCTCACATATCTTATTACCTCATTCCTGTGTTGGGTAAGAGCTGTTGTCAATCTCTTGACCCTTATCTCAAACAAACTGCCACTGTTCTTGACAGGGAGATGTCGTTGGTGCTGCCATGGATATCAACACAGGAGAAAGCACTCTCTGTGTAACACGTTAGTAAATCGTTACTTAGCATCTGACACGAAAGTTCTACCCTCTTAATGATCGCAGCCCAGTCAATGTTTGCTAAATTTAGAGGCAACTTGCTATTTAAATTCTGTAGCCTGGGGAGATAAAATGGCATTTTGCCAGTTCAAAAAAAAAATTGTTAGAGTGAGTGGAGCATGGCCCAGTGGCCAAAGACACTTGTGACTCAGCGTTCTATCCCTAGAACCCATGTAGTGGGAGGAGAAAATCAACTCCTCAAAGTTGTCCTCTGACCATCACAGACACACCGTGGCACGTGCACCCCCACACACACATGCAAAATAAATAAGCAGATCAAAGATGGGGGAACCTCACAAAAGTTGTTTGGAAGATTACAGTGATATGACATTGGCATTTTGCCGATAAGGTGTTGAAGTCAAGTTTGCATTCAGACTGACAGTCACAATCCGCAGGTTCCATTGTGAGAGTCCCACCCTCCCGAGGAAACCGTGTGCCAGTCTTAGCAGTGGCAGCTGCTAGGTAGGTTTGTGAGCCTTTCATCTAGCTGCCGGCCTGTTTAACGACAGGATTGGTCATTTCTTTCTTTCAGCTCCTAAGAGGCAGAGCTACAACCCGTAATCCAAACAAGTGACCCCCATCAGGTGTATCTTGTAAGAAGAATAAAGACGAAAAGGTTGAGCTAAGCAAACCTCAGTCTGTAGCATAAAAATGGGAGAAGCCACATGGGAGGGAAAGGAAAAGAAACAAAATCAGTTTGTTGCTTCCGACGTGTGCCTGAGGGGACTGACTTCAGTGGATCCAAGGACCTGCGGAGTCAGCACATGGGCTAAAGCTACTCCTTTAGTAAATAATTCTGCTTTATGATGATGGATGTGCTTTAGAATGGATGCTGAAATTGAGTCATGCCGATGGGAAGTTTTTGTCAATCAGTGGTTCCCAATGACAGATTAAACACGCTCTGTTTCTTATTGCCGGGGGTGGGGGGTGTGGGTGGGAACAGAGCATCTCAGAAGTCAAAGCCACAAGAAAGAAAATGCATTCAGTGACAGGAATGGAACTTTGGAACTTTCTAGAAAGGCCGTTTTGGAAGAGGGCAGAGCAAGCTCCACAGAGAACAAGGAAAGCAGGTATGTCCCAGAGGCATTCTGCTAGCTCTGGGGGGGTGGGGAGTGCCCCAGCCATGCTAAGTAACTAACGTACTCTGAGTGTCTTGCTCAGGAAGAGACTGGCCACACTACCCTCCATTCAATGTCAAGGGGCAGCTGTAACAGCCACCTCCCAGCCATGAACCTGGTGGCTTCAGGCACCCTGCTTCAGCAGCCTTACGAGCTTTCCCCACAGGCTGGTTGGCACATCTTCCTCACATAGATGGAGCAAAGCTCTCTGCTGGTCACAGCAAGCCTAGGGTGTGCATGTATGGGTGTGGTGGACAGCACATGAACATGTTGCTTCCTAGACTGGAGAGCTGTGCGCTCCTTCCTTCTTCCAGCACTGTCAGACCGTCTACTGCGCAAAAGGAAAACAAGTCGACATAAGCAAGACCTATCTTAGGCAGGGGTCCCACACCAAACTGCTGCCAGGAAAGGGAAGCCCACATGGCAGGAGATGATGCAGGATGCCACCACCTTGTCGGACTGAAGGCCACATCTGCGTACACGTGACTCTACAGAAGGTTGGAGACAGATGTGGAAAGCTGTGAGATTGACCTGTAAATACAGTAACCCGGCAGCAGTTTCTGGGTGAGTGGGTGGATTTGGTGAGAAGGAGAAGAATTCTAAGCTTCAGGACATAGATGTCCAGTTACACTTCTCTAGGGTGGAAAGCAAAATGGAAGGTTGGTGGGTGATAGAGTAAGACTTAGGGTGTCCCACATATGGTAGACAGTAGATGAATAGCCAGATCATCTTAGTAGTTAGAGTTAGTATGGTGGCAGCGGCCTAAGCAAACCACCAAAGCTAGGGCTTCAACTTCCACAGCCCGCTGTTCTGGAAAGGACCGAGGGAAAAAAGTGCTGGTTTAAGGGAAGGTGAGTTGACTTCCAGGCATTGAATCTGGACTTGTGACACCACCAGTCGGATGTGGATTTGAGTCCCTGGCATAACTGAAGACAATCGGCTCTCATTTTCCTGGGCCCTTTCCAAGGATGGGAACCTAAGGCCATGTTTATTCACTTTTATTGCTTTTCTTTCAAAAAGGCATCCAGATTAAAGTCAGAAACGATTCCCATGGGATTATAATGGACAATAGGAGATCAAGGGTTGTAAGAGCCTTGTGACTGTACTTAGAGGAAAAGAAGGGTCACCAGGGAGGCTACAGAGGCAGAGGGAAGGCCCATGGGCCAGAACCAAGCTGCAGATCAAAGGCTGAAGGGAAGAGGATGGGCCACTGGGCTTGACTCCTCTGAAGAGGCTCTTTTCTTGTGTTCGGAGATCCCACCATGTTGCACAGGCTGGTTTCAAATTCACGAACTCAGGCTCAAGCTATCCCCTTGCCTCAGCTTCTGGAGCAGTGGGACCGCAGGCAGGAGCAGAAAGGGGCTGGTCTATGAGCACATGCTCCCTACAATGAGAGGTCACACAGACTCACAGGGCTTGGAGCAACAGGGAAGAGAGCAAGCAGCCTGGCCTCTGAGGGGAAAGGGGGCTGGCCTGGTGACCCCTGCAGATCTCTGTGAGTTGGAGGGCAGCCTGGTCTACAGAGCAAGTTCAAGGTCAGCCAGGGCTACATATAGAGACTATTGCAAAAAAAAAAAAAAAGTCAAATAAAAAGGGAAAAGGACACCATCTCGCAGCTCACACTTAACACTTGTTACTCCTCTTTTACCTGGGTAGCAATCAATATTCATTTTGACTGACATGGGTTCCTAGCCCGAGACCAGCCTGGATATTTTCAGTGTTCGTGAATCATGTATATATAATCAATGGCCAAAGAACCATCAAGAAATAGGCAGGCACTGTTTTGGAGTCTAGCTAGTTGGCTGATTGGAGCTAGTACTTTCTCTTCTCCTATACAAGACTCGCGTTAGGAGGTGAGGAATTAATTATGTCGCGGAGTCCAGGAGCTGAGGACCTGGTCAGACCCTAGAGCTTGGGAAAGCTCTGTTCGGTTATCTGGGCGCACCCAGAAAAGGGTAGGATGACTTCATTCCCGCAGAGGGCGCTTCCCGCCCGGGCAGCTGAGGTGCCAGCAGCCGGTTTGTCCAGGATAAGTTTTCTTTGACTGCTCAACTTCTCTCTGCCTGGCGTCGTCGCAAGTTACTTTGAAAAAAAAAAAAAAAATTGCGATTAGACTGACTTCCCTGTTTCCTTCAATGAGTGGGCGGGCTCTTCCCAGTTCCCAGACAGAGCTCCTTCATTCAGCCAGATCTGCCATACTTTTTTTTTTTCTTTAATAAAGCTGAAAAGTTTGTTACCATCATTGAGAAAAAGGAACATAAAGGAGAGGGAATGGAAAGGAGGGGGAAGGGAACGGAGGGGAGGGGAGGGAAAAGAAGAGTTGGGGAGGGGAGGGGTAAGAAGTGGGGGAGGGAGAAGAAACAATTTGGCCTGCGGCACAGAGGACCTGATCTCCAGATTGCTCTGGACCGCCAGGGAACTCTACTATCGCTGCCCAATGCTCGGGGCAGAAGCTATGGTGGAGCGGAGCGTGCTCCGCGCGGAGGTGTGTGAATGTGTGCGAAGGTGCGTGCGTGCCCACGAATGTGTGTGGGGTGTTCATGCGTGTGCGCAGGGGAGGGTGTCCAGCAGACTGCCGCAGAGGTTCCTTTGTGGAAGGCGGTGACCTGCTCAGGAGCGAACGTGGCGCCTCCCCCTCGCTCCCTCGTTCCACTAGGACACCAGGACTCATCTTCGCCCTGCGGCAATTTCCACCTCCCTCTGTGGTTGCCCGCCCAGCCCCGCGCCGGGCTTCAGGTGCCAGGAGCCGCGTGCTGGGCGGCGGCTTTCGAGTCTCGGGAGCCCGGAGCTGGCTAGGGCGAGCACGGTGGCGGTGCTGTTCGGGTGGAAGGGGGAGCGAGGGAGGCGGCAGCCGAGCAGGAAAGGGCGTGCTGCCCTTTGCGGCCGGCTCGAGGAGCAGCCGGGTAGGCAGCATTGTTACCTGCAGCGGCCCCGCCCCTCCGCACCGCCCTGCCCCCTCGCGGTCCCTGGCCTGCAGTCCTGCGGAGAGACGGCGGCGCCGGGACAGCGGGCGGAGGCTGCGCGGGCGCCGGGAGCGCGGGCGCGGTGAGTGCGGGACTGGAGCCGGAGCCCGGGCTGCGGGGCTGGCTTGGGGGGGGATGCCGGGCAGAGCGGCGGCGCGGGGAGGATGCGGGGAAGCGCGAGCTCCGCACCCCACTCGGGGGACCTGGTCTGTGAGCTCAGGCCCTGTGCCCCGAGGCGCACACGCGCCGGGCTGGCCCCGCATTGGACCCCGGAGCTCGGTTGCGGCGCTACCGGTGGGTGGGACTTCGGGGGTTCGGTTAGCTTTCTGGGCACCTACGCGGGTCGCGCAGGTCGCAGGAGCCCCTCTTAGCGAGGACTCGCCCCGGCCACCGTGGTGTGGGGCTTCCCACGCCTGCACACCTCCCTGGAAGTTGACGTCCGAAGTGGCGCCCGCGACTGTGGAAGAGTAGGGAAGAAGCAGCGGGCTGGCAGTCATCCCCGGTCCCTGCGTGTGCCGGATCTCCACCTCCAGCCCGAGACTCCTTTTCGCGTTTCTGTCGCGGGCTCATCCCCTCTCCCTTGGTGTAGAGCCGCAGTGCGGCCGTGAGCCCTTCTCCTCGGAGCCCGCGCTGGGGACCACACGGGGTCGCCGCAGCGGTAGTCCAAGCGGCTGGCGACCACCGATCCTAGAAACACGGGCTCCGCAGTGGACCGGGCGCCCGAAGTCGGCGGGGACACCGGGACAGGGCGAACCACTCCGGGTCGGGTCGGCACTGGCGGAACCCATAGGGGTAGAACGCAGCTAGCGCGGACACTCCAATGGCCCCTGAGCTGATCCGGGACTGGGACGTCCCGGGCCCTCCTGGCAGCGTAGGGTCGAACCCTTCTCAAGAAGGCTGTTCTTACTGTCCCAGCCGGGGAGCCTGCGCGGCGCGTGTGGGCGTCTCTCCGCCGCGACGCGCGCCTTCCCGGCCCAGATAAGGCGGCCTGTGGGCGAGCGCGGCCCAGGGACCGCCCACTCGGAGCCCGCCTGCTGTCCTGGGATCCTAGGCTGCGCGGCTGCTGGACACTTGGTGGCCTTCGGGGACTCGGGCTAAGCGCAGCGGGAGCCGGCGGAGCCTGGGGGGCCCTTTGGTGAGTGGATCCGTCAGAGCGCTGTACTAGAGACCAAAGGAGGTGGTGGGCAAAGACTTGGGAGGTAACTGCTCGTCTTGCCTGGAAAGATAGCGTGTCCTGGCTGCTCCCTCCCTGCCCTGGTCCGGGCGGCTTTCATAAAGACCTGGAGCTAGAGTGTAAAGAAATTCTGCCTTGAGTTGGGCCCTCCGCGGACACTCTGTCTGGTCCCCAGTTGCCGTTCTGGAGCGTCTGTCCCTCCAGGAGCATCCTTTGGCACTCCCGGGCCTATTCTCCCTGGCTTGGGGACCGGGAGAGAAGGAACTGAAAACGTGCGTTCAGAAACTGGCGTTCTCTCGCAGCTGTGAATGTTTGTTTATGTGATGTGACAGATTAAACCTGCCGTCATGGATTCTCGCTGCCGGCTAAAGTGCCAAGTCAGGCTGTGTTGCTCGCAAACTGACTGTCTATTTCTTAATCAAGAAAGGGTTTGAAAAGACAGGTCGAGGTGGAGGAATGTTCCTTAAGGAGTGAGGAGAAAGAAGGGAATAATATTTTAGAAAGGCGGGAACTTTCCCCAGCCCCGTCCCTCTTTTCCCAACTAAGAATACTGTGTAGCTCAGTCTTTTCCTCAGTTCATCAGGTGTACCGTCCCGCCTGCACTTCCAACCCAGGCCTCATCTGTGACACATGTCGGGATGGAAGAGGAAAGTCATCTGGCTCTGTGTCTTTTATTATTGTTGAGCAGAGCAGTCTAGAGGAAGACCCTGGTTAGCAGTTAGGCAGGAGCCAGACAGCTCTTCTAGGAACTCTTAGGAACATTATTATTCTAATCCTGTGTGCAGGCTGATCCTATGCTTAGGTGAAATCCGAAATACTGAAATCCAAGTTAAACGGTGCTCAACTGAGCAACATCCCCTCCAGAGAGAGGGACAGCACCCCCCACCTCTGATGGGCCATGGTTATCACTCCGAGGGCTTGGAGATGGGTTCTGTCTTCAGAGAGCCTATTTGTGACAGTCCTGCATTTAACAGCTTCCTCCCCGCTGCTGAGGTCCCCTTGTTGGGGAGATGTTAAATACAAGCCTGCCTCTGTTTGTCTTGGGGAGATTGATGGGATACTTGATGATTCCCAGACAGAACCAGGGCTGACCCCATTGTCCCTGCCACCAACTGTGAGAAACAGGCAAGGGGGGTCATCTGTCAGGGTGTTTGCATCACCCGTGTTTCTCCCGGCGTCCTTGAGAGTGGCCAGTGTCATCTCTGCTGTGGACAGTATGATGGACTATTGTGCATCCTCTATTTTAATGCCACATGTGACTGGAAGGAGTCGGAACGCTATCTGTGCCTTCCTGTTCCTGTCACCTCTGGAGCATTGGAGACCCTGCCCAGGGTCAGTAGTAGGGACGCACGATGAAGTAACGGCATAAAAGCATGAGCATGTAGCTAATCATCACCAGTGAACTGACTCAGTTGATGCTGTTGGGAGCTAAGATCTTTGAGTGTTGTGGGGGGTTGCCAAATAAAGGGACCAGGGACCGTATGGTACATTTCCCTTTGTTCCTCTAACTTCTTAAAATGACGTTCTTCCCTCAGGGTGGGAAGTAGTTACAGAGTTGTATCAACGCACAGTTCATGTGTGGCACTTTTTAACTACTGCCAGTTTTTATCCGGTACTTGGGCTGTGCACAGCACAGTACTCAGAAAGTCTTCGTCCTTTGGGGTGTAGATGTCAGAAGACAGTGATTGATGATGTCACACTGCCTTTGAGTATTCAACCTCGGCACACTTAGTGTTTCTACATAATGCGCTGAGGAGTTTAACACTACACCTTTAAGTATACTTAACTGATGCAGAATGAATTATCACTTCCTAGATCAGTGTTTTAACTTACCCCCTCCCCTAGCCCCTCAGTGCTGGGGATCCAATTCAGGGCCTTGGGGTAGAGGACTTGCCTGGAGTGCGTGAAGCTTCTGTGTTCAATCCCCAGCGCTGGCGTGGGGGTGGGGTGAGATGATATATAAGTACATCAGTATGTATGGACCTGGAAGTGAGTTGGAGAATTAGCAGCTTTTTAAGGGTTATTTTATGCATAGAAAGTATATAAAATAAAATATGTAAGAATAAACTGCCAGGATGACCTGTACAGTCTTGAAAAAAGAGGAGTTCAAATGTAACTATAAACTGTAATTGACAATGAGTCATGATCGCTTTAGGGGTGCCAAGTATGAAGACAGCCTAGTTATGCCCCTAATGGTAATTATGAAAACTCCTTCTAAAAGCCAGTTCCATCTCTAGTGAACCAGAAATCAGCTTAGATACATATGGATTACTTAGATGCTGCCCAGTGGTGACAGCGGAATACACTGATACCACTGAAATCATGGAAGTGATTTTTTTATTCATCAAATTAATAATTGGGAATGTCGTTTTCTATTCAGTACTTAAATTGTCCGGGACTGAACTTGTAGCTTAGTGGTAGAACACATCCTTAGCGTGTGGGTTTAATGCCCAGCTCCGAAGTAAGAAAGAAAGAGCTATAAGCTCAGCAGCTAATGGAGGGCTGCCTGGTTGGCATGCAAAGGGGCCGGGGCTCAATCCCCAGCTCACAAATAACAAACAAATAAACAAACCTCAGACAGTTAAATCTTTCATAAATGCATTTATCCCATAACAGAGACAACAGCTTAACATGTGGCCACTGAGTATTAAAGAGAGGGGGGAAAAAATCTCACTATTTACAAACTCTGGTAGCAAAGTGAAGATATTACACATATTTCTAGCAGCCAGGACTTTTGGCATTTCACCTATAAAACCAAGACATGTTTTTTTCAGATTTATTATTATTTTTAACTGTGTATATGTACGTATTAGTGCACATATGTGCATGTATGTGCATGAGTATGTGTACTTGAGTGCAGGTAGCCTTTGGAGGCCCAAGTGTCAGATCCCCTGGAGCTGGAGTTACAGGTGGTTGGGAGCCACCTGACATGGGTGCTGGGTCCCTTGCAAGAGCAGTGCTCACTCTTAACCACTGAGCCATCTATCCAGAGCCCTTCCCCCGACATGTTTTTAAAGCAAATGAATTATCTGTGAGGATAAATGGAAATAGTGCACGCGAACAATTATTATTAGAAATAGTTAACTACATTCCTGAATTAGCGCATTTTTCTTACACAAGCCAGTGGGAAAGGTATTCTCGGATTTCATAGATGAAAAATGCTGAAATGTAGGTGAGGTCATCCACCTCTGCTCAGATTGCAGGTCAAGGAAGTTGCAGAGCTGGGCTCTGAAGGGACAATGTTTCTAGACTCCACTCTCGCTCCCCGGGAAGTCCCGCCTACTATATGTGGTTGTATGTACAAGGTCTCATAACGTCTGAACTAGTGACAGCAGACGGTTTAGTTCTGTGTAACCCAGTGTTGTGTGAGCCGCTTGTGTCTGCAAGTCAAGGCTCTCACAGTGATGACATAAGCTGATAATTACAGCCAGAAAAGTCTTGTAAAAAGCTCCCTCTTCACCTCTTCACCCCACTCACCTGCCTCCTTGTGAGAAATGTAGTGATTTTGACCCTGTTTCGAATTCAGTATAAAGCCAAAACCAAACATCTGTAGGTCCATAAAAATGCAGGTCTCCAAGATAAGTGAGTTGTATTGATAAGGGCTAGACATGTGGCGGAGTTGATAGGGCAGTGTGCCCTTGCGCATCTCCTCTTTGTAAGGGTGTCATGGCAGCAGAAAAGGCAGGTGACAAGTTTAGGGTCTCTGAAGAGTGGTTTTTCCAGAATCTAAGATCACAGCATTCGAAGGGGTGATAGGAGTTATTTAATGTACTGTAACTCTAGAGAGGAGAAAATGGAAGTCTAGTGAGATGATGTAATATGCCTGGCACACTTTTCTCCAGTTGGGGGATCTACATCACCCCATGGAACGGGAACATGGTGACCCTGGCTCCAGGGAAACAAGCTGGGCCATTATTGTCTTAAGTGCCCCACCTGCTCCCTTCAACATGGAAAATGCCTTTTGACCCAGTGATTGGAGAGAACATGTCCAGACTGGAAAAAGGCAGGGTCACTCAGTAGGCACCAAGCACCTAACCCTTCAGCAATTTGGGCAGTTTCCCCAAGGGCTGGGATCCATCGTCCAAGAGAGGAAGGAACCTCTTGGAACACAAGCAGTTTATTCATAAAGGAAACGCTCCTGGTCTTATAGCGGGCGCTGGTTACGTACGTACGTGTTTCATTGATTAATGGGAGATTTCCAAATTGGCTTTATTGCTGATTCGTTGGCAGTTTTTCCCAGTAGCAAGATGTGGTTTGGATTTAGAAAAGTATGTGTTCATTCCAGTGTGCTTTGAGATATCCTCTTGACCTCGATATCTGCCCATTGTGGGCCAGCCTACCCTGGCCTCTGAGAGGGAAAGGCTAGTGGGCAAACCTTTTCCAGCACTGACTTTAAACTTGCTCGGTCTTCACAGGTCAGAAAGCTGACATGAGGCACAGTTGTCTTCTCTTCTGGCAGCAGACTCGTGGGCCAAGAAGTACGACTGGAGTTTGATGTTTGTGTCTGCTTCTCCAAGGTCAAGGAATTAGCTCCTTAGAAGGCAACAGTACTATGCATGTTATGAATTGTGTCTCCCTGGCCAGCGATAAAGAAAATGGGACTCTTGCCACGGCAGCTGCATTCATGGCTGGGCAGACGTCACCCTCTGCATCTCCTCCTCCTCCTCCACCGCCTCCACCTCCACCTTGTCCACATTCAGGGGAGGGCTTCCTCCCCTCCCCACCTCCTCCTCTGCCACCCCCACTTCCTGGGGGACCTCTTATCCCCCCTCCTCCCCCCGGACTACCCCCAGTTTCTCACGTGAATGGCTACAGCTCCCTGGGTAAGAAGAAACGGATGCGAAGCTTTTTCTGGAAAACCATTCCAGAGGAGCAAGTTCGTGGCAAGACCAACATCTGGACCTTAGCAGCCAAGCAGCAGCACCACTACCAGATCGACAAGAAGACCATTGAGGAGCTTTTTGGGCAGCAAGAAGACACCTCCAAGGCTTCTCTTCCCAGGAGAGGAGGAGCTTTGAACTCATCCTTCAGGGATGCCCGGGAAGAGGTGAGAAAGGAACTTGAGGGTGGGGAGGGGGCAGAGGCCGGTGGCCGTGTTGCTCTGTATTGGAGTTGCGTGTTTCAGATAATTTGGGAGATTTCACGGAGAAATGAGAGCATGCAAGCTAAGATGTGCTGTGAAAACCACAGGAAAGGCTCACACGATGAGTTGGAGCTGAGCAACAGAAGTGTAGGGAGTGCGCGCACAGGATCCTCCCAGGCATCCCCATGGATTATGACCTCATACAGAGAACACATGAGTTGGGGCTGCTGGGCTCGGGCCTCTCAGCACCACCCTGTTGCTAGCAAATGTGCTGTAGTTTTCTCAGGGAGAGAAGCCTGGGATGGAAGGCTGGGCTCGAGAGTTCAGCTATCTGGGATGAGCTGGGGCCATCTGGGAGCAAATGCCTTGTGTTAAGTGACGTAACTACTAGACTGCCTTGGGAGTCCTCATAGTGCCCGCGGCATGTGTTTTCAGAAGGCCCCCATGCCTCCGAGCTCTGAATTAAGTTATGGCCTTTGTGGAGACGGATTTCTAAAGAGCCAACGTATCAAGCTATTTTGAGACAGTTTTTATAAGAAGCATGTTTCCAGTTAATACTAAATGTGTTTCTTTGAAGGAGGAAACAGCTGTTAAATTACCAAACACATCTACAACTCAATATAAATCCTTTGCTTTAAATCTGTTGTAAAGGAGCGGAGAAAATAGGTCATCGATGGGGCTGCCTAGATAAGAAAGTGGGCGGGGCCCTGGGGTGAAGTATTCGCTCCATGCATTATTGAATTCTTGAGCCAACAGTGTTGACCTCTTTTCTCTTCATGGCTTAGCAACACGTTAACTCCTTCTACCAGGCCCTGAGGTCCTTTAAGATGGTTGTACGATCCCCCTGAAATTGCTGAGAGCATTCTTATAAAATACAGGGAGGAAGCAGGGTTGTTGTGTCTAATAAACTGTGAAGTGAGTCGGTAAAGTCAGTCATCAGAGGCTGTGGTGTCGTCAGTACCGATCACAGGCTTTTCTGTCTGCCCTTCATTTGGTCAGCTGCCCTTTCGGTATTGGAAGGGACGAAGGAGTCATTTCCTTAGTGCCCTGGTCTTGGCCCAGCTCCCAACAGAAGTGCCTCTTTGCACAGCTGGTCACGTCTCGCCCTTGTCTCCTGGTTCTCCCTGCTGAGGTGACGGGACAGGTGTGTGTGGACCGGGGGGTCATCTGTCCCAGAGAAGCACCTGGAACAGAAGGGGTTCGGCTTAGCGTGCCCCTGGGGAGGGCCGCCCTCAGCTGAGAGAAGAGACCTCCGCTAGGAACTTGGGAAATTTCAAGGTGTTAAGGGCGACTTACTGCTTTCCACTTGAGAGGCCAAGAGCAGGGTAGATGAGCCCCTGAGAGAGGAAGCATGAAGCAGTGTTGTGAGCCATTCTCAGTCATGGCAGGAACAGAACAGTCCATTTCCAAGCCAGATCCAAAGTGCAGGAGCAAACGTCTTGCTGTCCACCTTCTTCTGTCCCTGCGGCCTACGTCATAGACATTTATATTTTTTTCTTTAACTTCCTTTTCAAAGGAGTTATTTTTAAATTGTGTGTGCGTGTGTGTGCCTGTTCATTTGAATTGAGGGGTGCTCGCATGCCCTAGTGCGTGGGTGGAGATCAGACTTCTCTGTTGGTCCTTACCTTTCATCTCCTGTGAGACAGGGTCTCTCTGGTTGTTTCACCACAACTCAATACCAGGACAGCTGGCCCCAGAAGCTTCCAGAGATTTTCTTGCCTCTGCATCCCGCCTTCACGCAGGAGTGCTGGGCTTGGAAACTTGTGCTACTGCAGTATGGTTTTTGTGTGGGTTCTGAGGAACCGATCCAAATAATGGATATCGGGAGGTCATCAGGCTTATTTCGCAAACACTTTACCCACTTGAAAGAAGTATGTTTAATTTTGTAGATTTATTTATTTGATTTTCATGTGTATGAGGATTTTGCTTACATGTGTGTCTGTGTACCATGTGTCTGTAGTGCCCTTGGAAGAAGGCATTGGAATAAACTGGAGTTAACCGATGGTTGTGAGCCGCTATGTGCGTTCCCCAAACCCAGGTCCTCTATATAAGCAGCAAGTATCCTTAACCACTGAGCTCTCTCTCCAGCCCCTGATTTTGTTGTTAGTGTTTAGATGCTGCGAATGGGATCCAGAGCATTGCGTTTGTGAGGCAATCATTCTAATATCGAGCTGAACCCTGAGCCCTAAAAGTATGCATTTCGTTGTAAATTACATATAAAATTTACTGCCTTAACTGTTAGTTGAATGGTATCGAGTGCATCCATAGTGTGGTGCTGACACCACGGTTCATCTCCAAAACCCTTCCCCCCTACAAACCCGAGCTGCATACCGTTAAACAAGGACTTCTCAGCCCTCCTCCCCCTGGCCCTTGCCAGCTCCATTTTTCTTTCTGTCTCCGTGAATTTTACTGCTCCGGGTACCTCACAGAAGTAGAATCGTGTAGCATTTTGTCTTTTTCATGACTGACTTGTGTCTCTTAACCTGGTGTCCTCCAGGTTCATCTAAGCTAGAGTATGAATGCGTCAGAATCAAGTCCATGTAATATTTATCCCATTGTATACTCATATCGCATCTTGTTATAAATCCCTCCCTCCTTGGATAGCTGTGATACTTCTACTGCTGGTGAATGATGCTGCTGTGAACGTGAGGTGCAGAGATAGTGCTTTTGAGTCTCATGGGTCCGACTCTAAGAGACAGCACGTTAAAGTTAACATGGCCAAGTGCCAAGAGATGATCCAACCCCTTCAGCTCCTCACTATGCAGGAACAGGGAGTTTAGATTGGTTCTTCTAAGTTCATGCTAGCTGATGTTGTCACCTAAGAGATCACTGAGGATCATCTTCAATTTCTTACATTACCTTCAACATGACTGGAAATAAGCTGGTGTGTGCCATTTTCTTTCCTGACTGGTTCAGCAGGGTTACTCTCTGACAAAGATCAGCCATAAATCAATCTTCCAGCTCACCCTGCAGTGAGTGGAGTCCAGGGTCAAAGCAATAGTCCTCACCCTCTGTCCGGGTGCCCTGGAGAAAATGCTGAGCAGTGTGTTCCTCGGAGGGCCTGCTCCCGAGCCCAGACACGGGACACTAGCACATCACAACAGGCCATAATTCTGGAGGTTCAGACGTGCGGAGGAGGAGCGGGTTGGGTCCCTTGTCATATAACCTCACATAGAAATAGCCTGATATTATAGGATTGGCTTTCATTTTAAAGGGCTTATGGAGCATTACTAGAAAGTTCCATTGTGCTCCAGAGGAGGAATTTGCTGGAGGGTAGGGAAGATGTTGGTTTGGGAATGGCAGGCATAGAAAGAGCAGCACTTAAAATAGTGAATTGGGGGAAGGAGGTTATGAAATGCTACCATCCTTGTGTGCTTGTTACTAAAAATTAACTTGGGAGATCACAGATGTGATGGTGTCATAGTAATTAAGCTGTAATAAAGCAATTGGAGATACACTGATATATACTGGGCTCCTAATAAAAGGTTCAGCTCAGATTTCACTTCACAGTTCACTGATGCCATCCCTGAGGAGTTGCCCAGTTCCTGTCCATCCATTACAGATGTCCTGAGTTCTCAACACTGCTGTTAGTTGAGTCTCTGTCTCCCAATGCTCATGTTAGTTGGCTTTTTGTCTCCCTTTATAATTTGAGCAGTTCTTAAAAAAAAAACTTTATTTTTAATGTTTAATTTATTGTATGTGTTTGCTTGTCTGGATGTGCACCACATACGTGCAGGAGCACTCAGAAGCCAGAAAAGGGATTCAGATCTCTAGAACTGGAGTTACAAGTGGTTGTGAGCTACCATGTGGGGGCTAGGAATGGAACCTGGGGCCTCGGTTAGAGCAGTAAGTTCTCTTAACCACTGAGCCAGCTCTTTAGCCCCCTTGAGTGACTTTGGCAGGGGGGGGGGGGCAGGGGGAGGTTTCGAGACAGGGTTTCTCTGTGTAGTTTTGTTGCCTGTCCTGGATCTCGAACTGTAGACCAGGCTGGCCTCGAACTCACAGAGATTAAAGGCGTGTGCCATCAGTGCCTGGCCTTGAGTGACCCTTAAGGATAAGAACATGGTTTACCAAGTTGGTGAACTCCAAAGAAAACAAATGGAGAACTAAAACAAGCAGAATGGCCCAGTGCAAAGGGTCCATCGTCCTAGGCGAGGACAGATCAGAGCTGGAGCTCACCAGCTGTCGTTCAGTTCACCGTGGTGTGACAGTGAGTGAATGTTGACACAGTGTAGACAATGAGCTGAAAGAAGAGAATGGGAGTGAGAGAAGAGGGAAGAGGAGGGAGGAGTCAGGAGTGGGGAGGGAGGCTGCGAGAACGATGGCTCTTTCTAGATCCATGAGCAATGCTGCTTCATCCTCCCACGCCCTCATTTGAGAACCAGCATTCCCCTGTAGTCATGATTACATTCCCAGTATGTTCTGAGATTCTGGGAACGGCTCACACTCAACAACTGTAGACTGAGATAGAGTTTATAGATTAAAACAATATGTGTATTTCAGGTTTCTCGCTTTCTTTTTTCTTTTTTCCCCCCCCTCTCGTAAAATAAGAGGTTCCAATAGATAGCCAACCAGAACTGAAACAGTGAAAAGCTGTCAGTACAGTGAAGTGAGCCTGTACTGAAAGGAGGGAGGTTTAAAATAGTTTTGCTTTTCAGTTTTGAGTGGGGTGGAAATAGTCACTGTGTCAGGTGACTGGCACATGTAAGGATGTCCCAAATGAAAGTGGTTTAAAGGGTTGAGACTTGGCTCAATGGTAGAGAGCTTGCTTAGCGACGCTAAGGGCAGGCTTCACCACTGGCACCGGGAAACCAAAAACCCAAACCACAAAACCCAAAACACACCACCAAGGAAACACACCAAGTGACTGAAAGTTTTTTTTTTTTTCTTCCATCTTGAAAACATGCTAAATGAAATAAGCCCACCACACAGGGGAATTCTGATTCTGCCTATATAGAGGTACCCAAAGGGCTAGAGAGGTAAGTCAGTCAGCAAAGTGCTTGCCCCAAAAGCATGAGGGCCTGGGACTCCCAGGAAAATGCTGAGTGTGGCAGTGCACGCTCGTAATCCTAACACGTGGGCGGTGGAGACAGTTGGATCCCTGGGGCTCACTGGCCTGCTGATCTAGCCTAACTGGTGAGCGCTAGACCAGTGACAGACCCTGTCTCCAAGGAGGTGAACAGTGTTCCTAAGGATGACTCAGGCAGTTGTCTTCTGGCCCACACATACATGTGTGCGAACCAGTGTACATAGACACATACACACACACACACACACACACACACACACACACACACACACACACACACTTAAAAAACAGAAAAAGAGGATGGAAAAACTCATGGCAATAGAAAGTACCAGCCAGGGTCATTGGCTAGGGCAAGATGTGGTAACAGGCAGCTACTTTTTAGTGGGTTCAGGGCTTTGGTCTTGCAAGATGTGAACACTTTGGAGCTGGATGGCATCATAGATACCATGTGGGTACACATAGTGCTATTGAGTTGTACACCTAGAAATGGTCACGATGCTAAACATTATACACGGTTTCCTACAATTTTAACAAGTTTCTTCTTCCTGTGAAGGATACAGGAGGTGGGGCTTTATAAAAGACTGATGCTAAGGAAAGGCGCAAGAATTGTGGGCTGGGGGTTTAGCATCGTGGTAGGGCCCTTGTCTTGCATGACACGCTGGACTTTGGGTTCTAGGCCTATCTGAGAGAAGGGGGTTGGGGGGGACCTGACGTATCGCATGCAGGTGAGACGGAGCTGGAGGGAGAGATGGCAGGGCCTTCATGGCTGGATTGGCACATCCCTAGCTTCTAGTAGCTTGTCTCCTCTGACTTAGCTTTTGCAGCCCACTGGGATCTCTTCCAAGTGCCACTGTGTGTGTGTGTGTGTGTGTGTGTGTGTGTGTGTGTGTGTGTGTGTGTGTGTCTCCAGCACACCACCGGCCAGTCCTAAAGAGCTCTGAAGCTGAAACACTAGCTCGGTGGAAGCCCGAGTTTGGGAAGTGAGATAAGCTCCTTACATGGGCCGTGATAACCCTCTTTGAAGGGCTTTAACAAACACCTTTATAACTGTTATAAGGATCCTGTTTGATAAGGCAGCAGAATCGGGCACCGGGTAAGCCCAGGGTGCCCGAGAGCAGGCGCTGTCCTCAAGTGTTATCTTTTGTCTCTTGTTCCTTGTTTGGGTGAAGGGCTGGCCTTTGTTTTCTTGGTAAGCTGATCGGTCATGACCAGCCCAGGCTTTTCCTTAGAGACCGGCTGACTGTGACCAATTCCAGAAACTGTTTGGGCTGTGGGCACATCTAGAGGCTAGAGCCGCCCTTGAATGGAGCGTGTTGGCTGCCTCTCTGGGGTGGCTTAGGCTCCTGGAGGCTGCTGGTCTGCCTGGTGAGAACGTGATGTCACCAGGCATCCCACACTAACAACTCCAGGGGTGCCCCTAGACTTGGCCAGACACTGTGATTGGCTGCTTTTCACAGGCCTGTCCACATTTATGGAGGGACCTCCCCACCTTGGTGTATGGGGGGGGGGCTACATTTATTGATTCCATGGGAGACCCACCAGCGCTAAGCTCACAGGAACCCGAGGGGCGAGGAATCAGAGAGAGAACCAGGCTGACATTCTGTTCCAACACTGCTTTGGGAAAGCCACAAAATGACATCTCTGAGGTGCAGTTTCCTTATCTGTCAAATAAGGATAATAAGAGTAATTTCTCCCCTTGCTCTTCCAGCAGTGGTGGCTATGGACCTGTGCCAAGTATACAGAGCCCCAGAGGGTGGAGGGGTGAACAGGATGAGGGTGGAGCTGGAAGTGCAGGGGAGGAAGGATGCCGCAGCCCAGGGTGAAACACGGCAAGAGGTGGCAATTTCGTGAGAGAATTATCCAACAGGTTTGTTTCCATTCTAGGTAGACACGGACACCACTGTATCAGGGTACATGTTCGTACTTGTGGCCTTTTAATTTACAAGTTTTAATAAGCAGTTTTCTGCCTTAATAAATTGAGATTCCTCATTCCAGTAGGAGCTTTCCCCCTTAGAGTGATAGGGTTCACAGGCTTAGTTCTCATTTTTTTTTTTCTCTTCCTTCCCACTGAACTTGAACCGCAGCCCCTGGGTAGGATTCCAGTTAAGGAGGGTGCCCTCTCAGCTTGGAAGCTTATTTTATGGCTGGCAGGTGATTGTGTTAACATCAAATAAACCCATGGGTTAGTAAATAATGAGATTGTTCGAGATTAGCCTTCAAAAGGAGGCAACCATACCTTGTAAAAATTTAACCTTATAGCCAGGAAGTGACATTAACGGTCTTGCTTGTTGCTTACAAATTTGAAGCGACCCTGAGATGCAGAATTTGGTCTGAAACCTGATTCTCTTTTGTTCTCAGTGAATCTCTGTCTGTCTGTATTTCATCCAGCCTCCCTTTACCAAAAGACAAGTGGAAAAGACGACAGTAATTTCAGCTTACCTTCCATCCTCCACCATGGATATTTATTTCCAGAGATAAAGATCACTTCTCAGCAAGGCCCCAGAAGTTGTAATTTATAGTTTAATAAGATCTCAAATTATTACTTTTGAACATTTAAAACTTGTTACAGTCCAATCTGGGTTTGGATGGCACAATAGAATAGTTCTATCAGCATTTGCTAAGTCAAAAGATGCTATATAATGCCAGACATGGTGGTGCACATGCTTAATCCCAGCAGGCAGATCTCTGGGATTTTGTGAGTAGCCTGGTCTACACAGTAAAACTGTATTATTACATGGACCTTTTAACTCAGAGACAGAAAAGTGAGGAAATAAATATATGGATCTGAGACTTCCTGGTGAAAGACAATTTTTAAACTTCTGAGCAAACAAAATGTAGAATCCTTTTTTTTGAGACAGTCTCTGACTGGCCTTGAACTTCTGATGATCCTCCTGCCTCAACCTTTTGAGTGTTAGGATCACAGATGTGCACCGCCCGTGGCTATGGTACTTCCTTTCTCCTAAATGGATGATTATGTCTATGACTGAGAACTGGGACCCAACCTCGGCAGAGCCATGGTTTTGTTTGGCCATTTCAGCTCTCCTGTGATTCCTGCGATGCTGATGTATTCACTTAGGCCTTTAAGTATGGGCTACATGGAAAAGAAAATTTTTTTCATTAAAAATGTTATCTATTTGATTGTCTATACTGGTATGATAAACCTATGTCTTGTGTGTTGTTCTGGGACTAGAACCCAGGGCCTTGTGCATGCTGGATAAACGCTCTACTACTGAACTACCGAGTCCAAACATGAATTCTCTTAAAATTTTTATTATTTATTTATTTTTGGTCCTGTGGGAGGAGGATTGAGACAGACTGTCATGTAGCCCAGGCTTGTCTCCAGCTCACGACGTAGCTTAGGCTAGCCTTGAACCCTCCTCTTACCTCCGTCCTCTAAGTGCTGGGATTAGGGGTGTGTGCCACCGCACCCAGTGGCATGTGTCATTCTTTCTGCTCAGGAAATAAATACAGTAAGATGTTCATAAAACTATACTAAGGACATGTGTCAGTTACCAGATTTACATATTGGAAATCATTCCCTTGTACATTGGTATTGTACTTTAACAGGTTTGTAACGAGTCTTTCTCTATCCTGCCAGCCAGCTCCCAAATAATGACATGGAGACGTCTTATTAATTATAAAAGCTCGGCCTATAGCTTCGGCTTGTTCCTAACTAGCTCTTAAAACTTAAATTAACGCATTTTTTATTAATCTATGTTTTACCACGTGGCCTTTACCTCTGTCCCGTTCTGTGTGTCCTACTCCTTCTGTGCCTGGCTGGCTTCTCCTCTGCGCTTCGATTATTTCCTCCAACTTCCTCTCTCTGGCCAGAAGTCCCACCTATTCCTCCTGCCTAGCCATTGGGTGTTCAGTTCTTTATTAAACCAATCACAGCACTATATCTTCACACAGTGTACAAATATCCCACAGCACAGGTTTTTAACTCTCTTGTTTCTTCCAACTGTTTTTATTTTATTTTATTTAGTTATTTTGGTGTTTCAATACAGGGTCTCTCTCTCTCTCTCTACAGAGCATTGGCTGTCCTAGAACTCACTATATAAACCAGGCTGGCTTGGAACTCACAGAGATTCACCTGCCTCTGCCTCCAGGTGCTGGGATTAAAGGCGTAGGCCACCACGTTTCAGCTCAGCTGTTTTTAATTTATATTTAAAAATGTCTTATGCATCTGTTTCTTTCCAGATTACCGTCCTGGATGCAAAACGAAGTATGAACATTGGGATATTTCTTAAGCAGTTTAAAAAGTAAGATTTTTTTTTTGCTCCATGTCTGGAATTTTAGGCATATCCTTGCTGTGAGGGTGTGACTGAGCTGAAGTTCAGATTGTAATCTGAGCTAGGGGCATTCCATACTCCTTCAAGTTCATCCTAGATGGGTGGCTCCATGGGTCTACACGTGTCTGTCTTTGCTGTGAGCTTACAGTCTTGAAGTGAGGGAGGAATACCCTGCAGTGTCCACAGAGGGACTGTATGTCAAGAAAGTGTACAGAATTTAGGGCATTTCTTCCCCATTACCCTCTCTCGTCACCTCCTCCATCCCCAAAACTACTCTCCTCAGCAAGTCCTGTTTGACTTTGATGTCTTTTTTTTTTTTTAACCTACTGAGTTTAATTATGGTTGTTTACATGAGTGAGGGGTTATTTACAGGAACAGGGGTGGCTTATCAGTGTCTATACCACTGAGGAAAATGACCCCCACCCCAGCACCCATTAATTGTCCATAGTGCCTCAGTGAGGGTGGGACCTCTGATGAGGCAAAGGTTTCCTTTCATTCATCTTCCCCCAAAGATCCTGTGGTGGGTGCTGCTGTCAGCCATCCTGGGATTCCTGGGGGTGTTTCCTGGAAAAAGGAACCTTAGAGTGCTTTCCAGTAGGGGAGCTGGTGGGGCCTCTGGACCAGGAAGAAGCCTGCAGAAGAGAGGGCAGAGAGATGAGCTTGCTTTAATTGCCATAGGCTGTGTCCCTGTTGGCACTCCAGCAAATGCAGTTCCTTGTCTTCTCAAGGTCTCCTCAGTCCATCGTAGAAGATATCCACCAAGGAAAGAGTGAGCATTATGGAGCAGAGACACTTCGAGAAATCCTTAAGCTTTTGCCAGAGTCAGAAGAGGTAAGGAACTTGCCGTGTTGACTTACGGGTGTTTGGAGTGGTGAGAGAAGCTACATGTTCTTCTGAGTGTGAGAGGCCCCAATACGCAGAATACTTCCTTCCCAGGGTCAGGGGAGTCACACATAACAGTCAAAGGTGACCAGTCCAATAGAAAGAGCCAGGCTTACAGAGTCAGCCTCTGTGCAGGTAGAGCCGTCCAGTAACTGAGACACTCGGGCACGGTTCTGAATGCCCGAGAACTTTAGATCCCTCACTTGTAAAATGAGGACAATGACCCTTACCTCATCGATTCCCAAGATGACTAAGCCCTGATTATGCAGCCAGCATGGTAGTTGGCACACGGGAGCTCAATAAATTTTAGTTTTCTTTTCCATCATCATAACATTTGACCTTTGCTTAGAGTGAACCCGGGTTATAATACCTACACCTTGTCTTTTTTTAAAAAAGGAAAAGAAAGGCTGTTTTGGATAAAGATACTGTAAATGTAGGTGAGTATTAACATAGGGGGTTTGTGTAATGGACTAAAAGGAGGAAGTTGCTGTGGTCATAGAAAGTACCGTGATAGCAAGGTATTAATTTTGTTTGGACCAGATGAGTTAGTTATTGCGTAGTTAGGAGCTTCGTAAGAGAAAAGAGAATTGCGATTTAAGACTTTAAAAAGCGTATTTATTGCTATTGTGTCTGTTGGGGGGTGAGTGAGTGACATGGTGCTCCAGTGGAGGTCAAGGGACAGCTATGAGGAGTTGGTTCTCCCCTTTCTATGGGTCCCAAGGATCAGGGTCAGCTCCCACACCAGATAAAGAGCCCTTGCTCACCGAGCCAAGTCACTGGCCCTAGACTCTACAAGAGCGACTTTATAAAGCCATCCAGCAATGTGATGATAGCAGCCTTTATTGGTGAAGAAAGTTTCAATAAGAAATTACACAAATTCACCTGCTTATGAACATTGAACTAAAACTTTAAAGAATTTTATAAAAGATTTTACTTCTGTAAATAAAAGTAAAAGGAGAGCCGGGCGGTGGTGGCGCACGCCTTTAATCCCAGCACTCGGGAGGCAGAGCCAGGCGGATCTCTGTGAGTTCGAGGCCAGCCTGGGCTACCAAGTGAGTCCCAGGAAAGGCGCAAAGCTACACAGAGAAACCCTGTCTCGAAAAACCAAAAAAAAAAAAAAAAAAAAAAAAAAAAGTAAAAGGAGACATTTTATAAGTAACAAGGAAGGAGAATGAAGTGTGGCTCAAATGTATGAGGCACTAGCCTGATTCTTATCACTGTAAGAAAATAAATAAAGTCAAGAGGATAAGTTGTTTTGTTTTTTTTTAATAAATCATCTCTTCCAAAAGTACTGTTGACTCCTCATACGACCTGCCCCTGTCCCAGACATCGTTTATGAAAGGTGATTTTAATGCCATTAATAACAGGAGAGAGAGAGTTGTGATTTTCCTTTAATGTTGACGGGTTCTAAATTCATAGTGGATATCAGCGGGTAACTGGAGGCTCTAGTTATATTGACGTGTGTCTAATAAGGGGATGCACTCTCTCTGCCTCAGATTTTGTTTACAAATGAAGTGTCACTTACTTAAGCCCAGATGAATTAATGACCTTTATTAATTAACTAAGGGTCTTAAAGTCTCTTAAAGACCGCCGGATGGTCCTTCATTTTTTTGCCTGTGTAAAGAATGGGGTTTGAGAATCTTTGCTAGCATGAGTAGGGCCAATTTCATTTGAGTTTTAAAAAGATTGTTTGCTTTCAGCTAGGGCTGCAGCTCAGAATGCCTCCCGAGCATGCGTGTAGCCCTGAGTTTGAGTTCCAGCACGGAGGGGGGGGGGGGGGAGACTGATGTGCTTTTGAAATTGTACCCCTGCACGGCCTCTTTCCTCGCCCTCCTTAGGATTTCTCCTGAGTGCTCACTGACTGACCGCATCAGGGTTTTGTTTTTTTTTAAAGGGAATATCAAATTTGACAGTGCATGTGGAAGTTCTCAGAAGGCTCCTCGTGGTAAAAGGGAGTGAGGCGTGAGCCTGAGGGAGGCTGCCAGCTCCATGCCGTGACGAGCTGGGAGAACTGAGAACTCTTTTCTTAATATCTGCATTTTTCATGTTCAGTTCAAAAATGATTAGAAAACGCAGAGGAGTTTTTCAAAAGAGCAAAGAGCTGTCAAAGGGCCTCTAGTTTAAAGATCCTTTTATGTTGTTTGAGTTTTGTGGGGTGTCACCGGAACAGGATTGTACAGGGCCAAGTGACGAAGAGGCACCTGAGAGCTATCCGGGTCACCCGGGTCCTCTGGCCCCAGGTAGTGAGCTAATCGCCAAGAAGCCTGGAGTAGGACCCCTGAGATGGCTTTGAACTCCCTGACACAGGCCAGAGCACACAGTCTCCTGTGCAGGGTCATCCTCAGACTAAATGTGTGACAGAGCCAGGTCACACTTCTTGTTTACATTAGCGTCGCTGGACTGCCGCTGGGCTGCGGCTCACCACACCCTCCACACTCCACTTCAGCAGAAGCCCCCCTGCTGGGTCATCCCTCCTGGAACTGCCCGCCGGGGAAGCAGAGCTGCCTTAGGGCTGTTTTGTGGCCTGGGGTACTACCCAGACTGGTGAAGACCCTGGAAGATCTTGGTCCCTGATGGAGGTGGATGATGAGAGTGAGGTCGGGGAGGAAGCGGGGCCAAGTGAGAGAGATTTGGAACCGTGGCAGAAATACACTAATAAGTGTTGGTGTGTGCCTAACGACCACTAGCCTGGGGTGTGACACAGTACTCGTTTTTAGCACAGGAAATAACATCACGTCTACCGAAGCTCTTTTCTGCCAAGCACTAGATGGGACCGGTGGAAATCCGGTGGTGCTGTATTTACAGAGCTTCATCCAGTGATGGACACAGAGATGATTATTCTGTAGCCTTTTCCTCACTTGCTCTTCACAGGAACATTATGAGAGACACCCGGTTTGCAGATTGCATCGGCTCTCACAGGTTACAAGGCGTCTCAGGATGGCTAGGTGATCCAAGAGGGGTGGACTTGAACCCTAATTTCTCTGACCCTGAGCAGTTTTTCCCGTTGCCCTCTGCTACCTTTCTTGGAGGAAGGAAGGGCAAAGGTTGCCAAAACCGTGTGCCTCACACCGTGCGGTCTCTCAGCCCTTTCATCACCTCTGCTATCACTGCCACCGGTGTGAGCAAGTGTCATCGAATCCTCCTGTTGTAACCTTATCAGCGTGCGGAAAAATATGAGCGGAAACAGCCGTTTTCTCTCCCGTCCCCGCCTTCCCAGCTGACAGGCCAGCCGAAGCCAAGGTTCATTTGTCATCAGGAATTTCTCTGCCCTTCACCGCTTATCTTTTATCTGGCTCCTTTGCTCATCTGTCTTCCAGTATGTGGTTCACCCTTGCAGAGGAAGAGGCGAGGCCCAAATCAAAGTTCTGGGTGTGCTCTTGTCTGCCGGTGGTTCCCATACCAGGGATGAGGGTGAGGAGGGGCCAGGGCCGCTGCCCAGCCTGGCCAGCCCTGCTCCTGCTGTGGGCTGCTGCTGCTCCACTGACCATCTCCGTGTCCTGGGATCAGAGCTAGAAGGTGCTGGTGGAACCGCCTGCTCTGGGGGTCACTCCTGCCACCCCACGCTGAAGAAGAAACCCGGGGCTTTCTGAATGCCGGAGCAGCCCTTTTGTCTCCCCAGCTGCTTCCCTCCTCGGGCCGTTCCGTAGGCGGCATGTTTGTGGGCAGTCCTGCCTTTCTGAGGCTGTCTGTGTGAGTGGATTGGGGCAGGATGAGCAGACCACCCTTTCTTTGGCCTTTCGATTCTCCGGAGCATGTTCTGGCTCTGACGACAGAAACTGGCCACAGCAGGGGTCGTAATGAGAGGCCCTTGGCTCAGCCAGCCAAATTATGCCTAACTGTTTAAGGTGTGATTTCTGATAATGACGATGAGAATGCATACTAATTACAGTTTGCTCACCTCGCCTCTTCCTTTCCCTGCCACTGGGAAGGCGCAGTAATCCCTCTTAATGAATACAAGGCTTGCTGGGAACTAGAAAGAAGAACTATGTACATGGCGTTTAAATTTCTGTCTTCCCTCTCCGTTCCCTTAAGATCGATAAACATTGTTGGCCCTCTGCGTAAGTGGAGGAGATTAATCCTTACGCAGTCACTGTTTAGCATGTTTAACAGAAGTACTCAAAGTTTAGCTGGAATGACCCATTCTTGTGCTTCAGCCTGAAATCTGTGCTGAAAGCTTTGCACATAGTGAGCATGGGGTCTCTTAAAAGGCCCTGCCTCACCCTGCCCCTGCCCGTATACAGTGAACTGTTAAACTCTGCTCCGGAAGCAGTCAGAACGCAGCCTAGGGCTATCTCAGTTCACAAGGGCAGCACTAAATTGGAGGTGAGCTAAACCGGAAGTGTCCTGAGTCCTTTGGTGTAGCAAGGCTAAAAATGGTAAATTCCCTCTATGGCTCTCTGCAAGTGGGTCAAATGTAGTTTTACAAATGTCTGTTTTCTGCCCCAACCAACCAACCAACCAACCAACCAACCAACACCCACCCCCCCAAGAAAAGGCCAGTCTGGGTGTAGTTCAGTAGCAGAGCATTTGCTTTATCAAGCATGAGGCCCTGGGTTCCATCCTAACACCACAAAATGAAAATGAAGTGGAAAGAGCAGCTTTGAGAGAGATCTAACTCTAGAGAGTGAATTTGTACTGTTGGATTTTATACTTTCCCGTAATTGCTATAAATATGTCAATAAGTAGGTTTTAAAAAAATAAAACCTTTATGTTATTTAATTATAATTTTCTGTTTTTATTTCTCCATTGTTTATCCTTTTTTGTTTGATTTTTCTAGGCAGGGTCTTGCTATGCAGCCTAAGCTGGCCTTGAACTCATCCTCAGCCTACTGGGTTCCTGGGTACCACCAGGACAGGCTGCAGTTTCCATGGCTCCGAAGGGCTTGAACTCAATCAGGATGGGGAGGGTGGAAGAGAGCGAACTTGTAGAGAGCAAGCTTTGTGACAAATGATGTGGTCCAGAGTGTGGCACCCGGGAGATCTTTTATTTAGCATTTCAAGACCCTGGGTTGAATATCCAGGAAAAGATATTCCTTTCATGCAAGAAAATGTAAAATTGCTCAATCCTTTTTGTCAACAGTTAGCTGCAGGAATGGGTTGTGCCTGACAGTAATGGGACTAAGGTGCCACTTACATAGAGACTCTTAAGAGTATCTTTAGGAGTGATATGCTCTTACCTTGGTGCAGTTTTCTGTGCGGAGAAGGCAGGATTTTTCTGTCTGATGCAGTTTGAGAGCTTTGTCTCTGCCTCCACCTCTCCCTGCTAATTGTTTGGCTGTATATCTACGTCAGAACTCTTTACTACAGGAGGGGAATACGTGTGTGTTTCAAAACCTTCATTTAGCTTGATTTTTTTTTTATAGCAGCAGTCTGTTCATTGTAGATAACTAAAAATAACTAGAATTGAAGAGCAAGTAAAAAGAACAGTGGCTGGTAACACTGTGTGTGGGGGGGGGTAGACATCTTTTCTTGATTTATGGAAATGTGATCTTCATACTGTATAGACTATTTACCTGCTTTTCGTAAGAAAAATAATTTTTAGGTATTTTACTTTTGATTAAGTGCATTACTTGTATGTATTGATGGGGTTCCATATAATGTGAGTAACAGCATGTGCTGACCAAATCCAGCGCTCCTTTGCCCATGCTCTCCCTTCCCCTGGACAACCTTACTAATCACTATTCTACAGTCAAGACATTTCTTAGCTTTGACATAGGTCAGAGAATTCGCAGTTCTTGTCTTTCAGTGGCTGGCTTATTTCACTTACCATGATGCCATGTGGTGTCATCCATTTTGTTACAAAAGACAGACTTTCACTCTTTTCAATAGCTGAGTGATACTCCATTGACTGTAATTCCATATTTTCTTTATCTGTGTACCTGTTGATTGGCATGTAGGCCAGTTCTATACCTTAGATACATCATAGGTAGATATCTCAACATCCATCATTCAGTTGAAGCTTTTTTCCTTCTTATTACCTTCTGGAGAGCCAACCTGGTCTCACTCCAATAGGCTAGGCTAGGGTAACCCAGTGGTACAGCACGGGCTTCTCACGCCCAGGCTCCAGCCTCTATCCCAACACTGGGGGGCGGGGAAGCAGTAGCCAGGTGAGATGACACACATCTGCAATCCTAGCATTCAGAAGGCTGAGACAAGAGGATCAAAACTTTGAGATTAGTTTAAATAGCAAAACACTAAAAAAAAGAACAAATAAAAACACTGGTTGTTGTCACTAAGATCCACAACCAGATGCCTCATTCTGAAATAAATCAGTAAAGAAAAGAATGAGTTTATTTAGTTCAGCCACCAAGAGAGAAAGTGTAGGTGGACTTTTCTGTGTCCTGACAGCCAGCTCCCAAATAACCACACTGAGACTTACTATTAATTATAAGTGCTTGGCCAATAGCTCAGGCTTGTTACTAGCTAACTCTTACATTTTAAATTAACTCGTATTTCTTATTCATGCTCTGGGTTGGTACCTTTTCTCAGGACATCAAGTTCATCTTCTTCTCTCTGTGTCTCCTCACAATTCTTTTGCTCCACCCTTTTTCTTCCCAGCATTCTCTCTGCCCTGAAAATCCTGCCTAGCTATTGTCCAGTCAATTCTTTTTTTTTTTTTTTTGGTTTTTCGAGACAGGGTTTCTCTGTGTAGCTTTGCGCCTTTCCTGGTACTCGCTTTGGAGACCAGGCTGGCCTCGAACTCACAGAGATCCGCCTGGCTCTGCCTCCCGAGTGCTGGGATTAAAGGCGTGCGCCACCACCGCCCGGCCTCAGTCAATTCTTTATTAACGATGAGAGCAACACAAATTTACAGCGTACAAAAATATTATTCCACAGCAAGAAAGAACCTAGTTCTTCTCCCCCACTGGTGCCCAAGGCTCTCTTAGACTTTATCGAAAGCCCAGAGGCAAAGGGCAGAAAACATGTGGGTTTAGCTGGGAATTTTACCTGCCCTTTCCTCGGGGCCCAGGTCGCCTTGTTGTTCTTGCAGACTGTGTCCATTCTCTTGGTGGAGAGGTCACTAGTGTGCCTTTAGAATTTAGAAAATCTCCTCCATTTCTCCATCGGGTTCTCTGTCAGCGTGAGTCCCAGCCATAGCATCTACCCATCCGGCAGTAGACCTGGGACTCAGTGGTGGAATGTTAGGCTAGGATGCTCAGGGTCCTGGGCTCATCCCCAGATATGAAGACGGATAAGCAAGCAAGCAAACAAAAAAATAACACAGTAGTAGGTATGGATTCCTTTTTCTTAGAGCTACATTTTATTACTTTGAATTTAGCACCAAAACATTATTTTCTTAGAATGATCCTAAAATGAAATTTATTCTTAAATTTTAATCAGTTATTATTTTATTTTTTTTGTCTTCTCCCCTTCTCTTTGTCTTTTAGGTAAAGAAGTTAAAGACATTTAACGGTGATGTGTCCAAGCTCTCTCTGGCAGATTCCTTTCTGCACTACCTGATTCAGGTGCCAAAGTAAGGCTGCAGTCCCTGGCCGCTGTCCTCTGTGGAGCGGGGTTGTTGCTGATGCCTGGTCCAGCTTTACTTAGTTTTATTTTCTTACTGTTCTTTAGCTATTCACTTCGGATTGAAGCCATGGTGCTAAAAAAGGAATTCTTGCCATCCTGCTCTTCTCTGTACAACGACATAACAGTTCTAAGAACTGCTACAAAAGGTAATTGAATATGTGTTTCCACATAGTTTGTTTTCATCAGATTTGGTAAAAAAAAAATTCAGATGAAATTGGAAATGGAAAAAAATCTCATTTTTGGATCACCTAAAAAGGGAAAAGGTGTAAGGAGGGATGCAGTTCAAGTAATGAACATCCATTTGCATATTATCTTTCCATGGAAGAAAGTTTCTTTCATCTCAGGCTTCAGAGTCAACCTTGCAAGTAGCAGCCTGTCTTGCTTCTCAACATGGCTAGCTTTCCATGTTCCGTGTGTGTGTGTGTGTGTGTAATGTCTGTGGTAGTGTGTGTCGTGTATATGATACAAAATGTTTGCATTATGTTTATGTGTGGTGCTGTGTCAGTGGTAGTGTGTGTCGTGTATATGATACAAAATGTGTTTGCATTATGTTTATGTGTGGTGCTGTGTCATTTGTGGTATTTAGTATGTATTGTGTGTACTATATATTGTGTTTGTGTGTGGAGTTTGGTATCTAGTGTGAGGGGGTGTGATGCTGGTGAGTGTGGTACGGTATATAATGTGTACGTGTGTGCGGTACTTGCAAGCACAATGCCTGTGTCCTGGACCGTCTACATCTTCCTTTCTCGGTTGACCGGGACTACTCTTCCAAAAGCAGGCAGGCCTCCCTTCCAGGCTGCAGCATGTGCCATTTCCTGCCAGGGCTCCTGAGGTTTCTGTTCTGTGGCTTCTCCCACCTACCACCCCTCTAGACTCCAGCATGGAAAGGTCTGTTAAGTCTGAGATGGATCAGCTGATCCTTTCACATCTTAAAGCGGCTAACTTTTCCTGCCCAGCCTCCTCTCAGGGTCTGCCTGCTAGGGCTGAGGCCTTTGTCTCTGGCTTTTTGTGTATCTTGAGAGTGTAGGCTGGCAGCCCTGAAGCTCCCTGGCACTCACTGCCCTGGCACAGGCAGGTCCGCCCACCTTCCCATCTTCAGCCCTCCAGCCTGGTTTTCTCCCAGTCACTTCTCTAGTTGTTTTTCTGGAACTGTCTATTCCTGCTTGGTCTTCCTGTGCCGTTGCTCTTGCCTGTGGTGAGAGGGACGCTCCCCCTTCAGCCTGCCGCATTTTCTTCATGGTGGAGCAGCACTGAGCGTGAAAAGGGATTTTTTCTTCTTCCAATATGGAGACCTCTTCCAGTTCTTCCCATTCCGAGGCTGTTTGTTGCAGCCATGGTAAAAAAAAAAAAAAAATGGAGCTTCCTGTTCAAACAGCATGGGGAGCACTTGTTTTCGTATTGAGCAATATAAATTTGTGGGCACGGAGGAAACGTTTCTTATCTGTGTAACCTTCCCAAACTGGCCTTCTTAGATAACGAAATACAGGCACTGGTCCAAATGTAATGTTTTGAAAGTATTGCCAGACTTAGTGGAGAAAAGTGACCCACAAGCATCAGAGGTGACGTTTTATTACCTGCGCTGTCATTTTAATAACCAGGTTGTTTGTTTTAGCTTTCCAAATATATCCTTTTAATTGCGTTTCTTTAGAGGCACGTATAAGAGATTTTGTGTTAATAGAGAATCAGTTTACCAATATGTTACCGAAAGTTCCCTTTTATAGCCTTCAGCCAATCCAAATGAAATGTGTTTTGAATAAAATGGAAAGATGTTTTGAGTACCAGGGCTTGAGGGCTGGTGGTTTGCAAGTTATTTACATGACATCCCAGCTTGTTTATTTTTTATCTTTTCATAACTCATTGGCTAAGCAAAATGTCGCTGGCTATTGGTTTTCATGTCTCATAAATATAGTCTTAAAGGATAGTGAGGAAAGGGAAAAAAAATGAAAAAATTAACCGCTGAAGAGGAGGAAGTCGGTCTCCACACCACGGTGTTTCCTTGGGCTCCTGTGTTTTCTGGGACTTGAAAATGGTCAGTGAATGACTTCTGCGGTGTTTAACTGCCCTACATGTTTGAGCCCCAGCTAAACGCCAAGGCCTAGATCATACTGTGTTTCTCTTATCATCAGAGACATGACGACTGTAAAGAGTGCTTAGTTTGGGGTCAGAACTTGCTCCAGATACACTTGAACTTGAGTGTGAAGCTGTCTTTTGTGCATGTGGGGTCTTTCTAAGGCTCAGTGGTGTGTTCCTTTTGACAGAGCTGATGACGTGTGAGGAGCTACATTCAATATTGCACTTGGTGCTCCAGGCTGGGAATATCATGAATGCAGTAAGTAGAACCCCAAACGAGACGTGCGCGTCTGCCACGTCATTGTCGGTCTGAAGGCTCAACACGTTTCTTTCTCTTGCCTTGCCTTCTTTAGGGAGGGTATGCTGGCAATGCCGTAGGATTTAAACTGTCTTCTTTACTCAAATTGGCGGACACAAAAGCAAACAAACCTGGGATGAATCTTCTGCATTTTGTCGCTCAGGTAAGCAGAGAACGGAGAACGTCTGTGAATACCCAGTGGAGACAGTGTGATTTTTTCCCGGGCAAGACATGATTTCTCAATTAGGAAAAGAACAAGGAGTATACCAAGAAGATTCTGTTTTTGGAAGCTTTGTGGATTCCCAATTTGAGCTACTGGAGGGAACTGGACAAGGGAGGCAACGAGGCTGGGTTCAGAAAGTAGGAAAGGATTCAAACGTCAGAGGTACCGAGTTAGAGGTCATGGTTTAGCCATGGGAAGCAGACGGAAATTTGTGTACAGTAATAGCATGACCAGGATTTTTGTTTTAAGAAAATAAGACACAGTGAAGTCTGGGTTAGAGAAGAGCAAGAACAAAGAGACATCCTGGCCATAGCTGTCTAATTGTTCGGTGCAAGCTAGATGGGGTAACCATTGTAGGGACGGCGCATAGAACGCTAGGTGTGGAAACCGCCGATGTGAGATGAATGGGATTAGTGACCAGTCTCTTGGGAACTGTGCATCAGAGTGCTGTCTGCTACTGTAGGGTTTAGAGTCTGACTCTATACATGGCTTCTTGTCTTTGGGATCTGGGGATGGAAACCAGGGTCTTAGCATGCTGGATAGGCAGTCTACCAAGACTGTATCCCCACCCCAGCCTCTAGTCCTCACTACTTGATTGAAAAGTCGGTGTTCAAAGCCCCGAAGTGAGAAACTGTTTCCTTATCCAGCCTAAAACGCTGTCTGGTGGGGCTCTTTTGGACAGATGTGGGCATTGGCTCTGCGTGGCTTGGGCCCCGCTCCTGTAGGAAGGAATCCCCTAAATGGTTCCTTCCCACTTACCCTTCCCAAATCAGCCTCCAAACAGCTGAAGAATCCAGACACCTCCTGGGCTCCTATGCCTCTCATTAAAGTTGGTTTGCAAACTGGTTTAACCGTCAGAGGCATCTCATACCATCATTGAGGAACACGCTCACTGAGATGCCTGCCATTTAGGCAGGGTATATTGGGTTCTCTTGGAAACAATGGGCACTAAGCCGCTGCCTCATTCCATTGAGTTTCAATGCACATGAGTTGAATTTCATGCGGGAATTGTTTGTCTTGGGAAGGTTAAAGGTATCTGAACAGTGCGGGGGCAGTTCTGGTAAATCTTAGGGAAGAATATCAAAGTTCATGTCTCAGGGAATTGCTTTCAGTGTAGCAAGCTGAAAACTAAGTGTTGTTTCCAAGGCTCCCTGCAGCTCTAAGGGAATGAGGCTTCCCTCCCAGTTTTATTCATCCAGTAAGACCAAAGTTTGTTTCTGTTCCAGGAAGCCCAGAAGCAAGATGCCATCCTACTACACTTTTCTGAGAAGCTGCAGCATGTGCAGGAGACATCGAGGTGAGCACGGCGACAAAGGGCGTCTTGGTTTCCTTGACCACCTTCCCGTGAAAATGGCGGAGTCCTCTCCGATTCCAGTCTGAACTCTTGAAACGTGCTCTCTTGTTGAAACGTTTTCCCCCTCCTGTTCTTGCTTTCCATGTATCTGTGCAAGTGTGTGTGCATCTTTGAAATTTGGGGATTTTGAACAACTAATTGTTATTTTTTAAACTGAAAGAAACCATTTGAGTCTATTCTAAAGAGCACTATTCAAGTATAAGAAAAATAGGGATCAGAGCTTCAACCCCCTCCTGGTCGAAAGGGCACAGCTTGTTACCTTGGGAGTTGGTTTAGATCAAACTCGTAGGGCCATACCTCACTGTTTCTCCGTGGACTTGAACATGGTACATTTATTTTCTATTGCATTAAGAGGTTGGAACCACACCAAGTCCCATGAAAGGACTTGATTCTAAATTAGTCACTCAGCTTTACAGAGAAAGTGTCTACCAAGTGTGAAGCCCTAATTCCATTACTCTAATTTGCTTCTAAACCTAATATAGATGCATGCTTTAATGCAACAACGATCTGTGTGTGTATTATCTCCATTCTGTTATTTAACTTAGAATAGGCCCATGCATCCTCCGGTAAACACTGCAGTTAATCAGTTCTTCAAGAAAAAAGTCTTGATTTTTCACATTTGTTGATGTCTGTGCCTTAAATACTGCTAGCCTGACTGGTTTCTGGCTGCCAACACAGAACTACTTAATGCAGAGTTGGGAAGAAATGCACACAATAGCCTCTGATGAGCTGGCTCAGCTCACCACTGCTTGTCAACCAAATTAATATCATATACTTTTTTTTTAATGATATCATCCTATGTTGCCCAGACTGGCCTGGAATTCCTGGGCTGAAATGATCCTCCTGCCTCGGCTTCTTGAGTATCTGGAACTACAGGCCAATGACACCATGTCTGGCTATATAATATCCTTATTATCTGAGTGATTGTCGCCAGCCATGACAGCATGAACTATCTGCATAGAAAGAAATAAACCACAGCTCACAGTCCTGTCATTAGACAGTATCTAACTGTTATTGACATCTAGCCACAGATAATATGTCTTTCAGACAGGAGGATTACCAGTGCAAAGACTAAACACTTCGTAATTCATGTTTACAGATCACTAGATTATGCTCCAAGAAAAAAAACAGATGGAAGATACAAACTTTTTTAATTCCTATAAGAGACTAATATGCAAATGTTTTGCAATATTAATACTATAGAAATATTACACATGTATATATAAAGAAAATTAGTGTTATGCTTTTGAGGTAGCATTTCCTGTTGGTACCGGGTAGCATTTCCTGTTGGTACCGGGTAGCTTTAGCAAAACACCGTTGTCTTAGACAAACCTCTCCCAATAAGGCTTGTTTGTTGGAATGGAAGGTGAGTGACGTACACAAGTAAACTACAACTCATCCTTCAATTAGGAACTGTGTACCACCAAAGACCAGGAGAGGTGGGAAGCTGTTTGCACAACAGAAAAACTAAAATTCATAATAGCAACATGAATGCATCCAAATGTACTAAATTCCCCTGGATTTTGGATTTCACCTGCTCCCCTCCCTGGCGACAAAACAGTCTTGGTGTTCTGCTGATTTTTTTTGTTTGTTTGTTTTTGCTTTTTCGAGACACGGTTTCTCTGTGTAGTTTTGGCGCCTTTCCTGGATCTCGCTCAGTAGACCAGGCTGGCCTCGAACTCACAGAGATGCGCCTGCCTCTGCCTCCCGAGTGCTGGGATTAAAGGCGCGCGCCACCACCGCCGCCGCCGCCCCGCCGCCCGGCATCTGCTGATCTTGATTTGATGGCTAGAACACACACACAGCAGTCGATCCAGCTGCTCATTGGCAGCGCTGTTGGCCATGTTTTAGTTCTCTGTAACATACGGGGAGAGGTGGAATCTGGCTCCCTGTGACCCAAAAGAGGAACTCTGAGTGTCAGCCTCCCCTGCCTGGCTGTTTGTGAGCGAGCGCATCCCAACACGAGGAAGGCAGCTGCTCCCAGTCTCGCCGGGTTTTCGTTTTGATGCTTGTTGCACAGGGTTGCTGAGACCGCCTGTCTGAAAAGCTCCCTCAGTCCTGTGGTCTGGGTCGGCTGGCAGTCTGCTTTCCTTACATCTTGTGTGTGAAGGAAGCACTCGCCTCTTAAAAAAAAAAAGAAAAAAGAAAAAAAGACAGGTGGCGATTCACTCAAGATCTAAATACAGAAGTGGGTAGATGGATCCCAGAGGCTCCCCTGTCCCAGGCTTGACCAAAGATGGGTCTTGTTTGGAATAGCCACGTGATGCCTGGTGTCTTGGTGCCAGCTTCCCGCTCTCCCCTTCCTTCTTCAGATTATCTCTGGATGTCACTGAGGCGGAGCTGCACTCGCTCTTTGTCCGAACAAAATCGCTGCAGGAAAACATCCAGCGGGACCAGGAGCTGTCTCAGCAGATGGAAGATTTCCTCCAGGTCAGTCCCTCTCATCGTCCAGCAGTCTCAGCAGGACCGCCTGTGGGACTGGTGGAGGCAGCAAGAGCCCACTCAAGCTTTGCTCCCAAGTGAATACAGGGACCCTTGTGTCCCACTGTCCTTTCATGGCAGAGGATAGCGATGATGAGCTGCCCAGAATTTGCTTCCAGAAAGGGCTTCCGCTGAAATGGCGGCAGTCCAGGCCTCTCACCCTGGGACTCTGCCTGGCAACTTAAGGTTTGGCTCTGTCGCCTTCATATTTTTAGACAAGGGGAGAGAGAGTTCCACGGAACATCCTGACACTGGAGGGTTTGGGCTGATGCTCCTTCATGTGTTTCTGTAGAAGAGACAGGCCGATTGTACCTGTCCTGATTTCTACTGCCAACAACAGCAGGGCACACAGAGCTTCGGTGCCCATCGGCACCCGAATACATCCGCCCACAGGGTGTGTCAGGAGCCACTCTAAACAACATCAACAAAAACCAGTAGAGTGGATCTGTTTGTGACAGCTCAGTGTGACTCACTAATCACATAGTCTGACGTACTTCTTTTTGTCTTCCTCTTTTAAAAAACAAACTGATACCTTCCTTCCCTTGCATCCAGCCTTCTGTGAGACCCTTGAGCCATGGCTGGGCTGCCGCGGCAGGGGGCAAGAACAGGATGCGTGACCATCAAAGTCTCCACTGGTTTGGAACCCAAGGCCTTGTGCCTGCTAGGCAGGTGCTGTCCCCTGAGCAGTATGGTATGCCCGGTCCCACCCACGGTGCAACAGCAGCACAGAGGCCGTCTCCACCTCTGAATACAGAGCAGTCCTGAGTGTGGTCAGGTGCAGAAAACAAAGCAGAAACCCAAGAAGGAGAACTGTCACATCAGAATTTAGATTCTGGTGGTTTCTTAGCCCAGTTCTTATTTTAAGTGCTAAGATCCTATACTAAACCTTTTTGTCCTGGAGGGGCTGGGGATTGAAGCTATCTATGCCATTGTACATGCTAAGCACACACCCTCAACTATAAGCTACACCTCCAGAAGTAATCTTGTACCGGATCTCAACAGAAGTCTTCAATATAAAGACCCAGCTGCCTCCTCCTCACTCCTGGGCTGCTTTTCAGAGCCAACTTGTTTTAGTTCTTGAAATATTTTAATTTAATTTAATTTTATTTTATTTTTGGTAGTGTTTGTTTAACAGTGCGGAGACTGGAATCTTGTTCCTGCTGGACCAGGACAGGACCCTTTAAGTGACGGCTCCAGCCTCAGCGTCCTTTATAACCTCTATAGACAGAAGGTGCCACACAGATGGGCATTTTCCAGGTAGTGAGATGAGGTTCCTGGGAGCAGGCTGCACTCAGGCCACGGGCCCTCGGGCAGTAGTGTAAAGGCGACACCTCTCTTGCTATGAGCAGCACCAAGCTGTTCCAAACTTGTGGCTTTTCTCGTTTGTTTGGCGGTTGGGTTTGTTTGTTTTTAGGCTGTTCAGAGTGTTTGGTTGTCCCAGGTGCTGAGGGCAACTTGGGTTCTGTTAGGCTTTACCTAACACCCACCCATCCATCCACCCATCCATCCATCCATCCATCCATCCATCCATCCATCCCCATGGGGTCTGCAGATCAGTCATAGGAGGTCCAGATTCTGGTCAGGAGGCCCCTGTCTCCTGCAGTCAGCTGGTCTTGCCTTGAGTCTTTCTTTTTTTTTTTTTCCATACAGAAGAATGACAGACAAATAGTTGTCTATCTGTGAATACCCTCTTCTCTGTGACAAAAATACACCGGGAAGACTCTCACTGCCTTGGGCCTCTGACTCAGATGGTTACTGTCTCTGGTATTCACTTTCCTACATAGTTTGTGTTCCCCACCACCCCGAGAATGTGTCTGGTTTAAGCAAAGGCTTACTAAGGAGAAAGTGGTTGGGCTGGTGGGAGGGGCTGCGTCTGACAGGAATTTCCATTTCTGCTCCGGAGCGGGCTGAGTGTGCACAGAAAGCAGCTCCCCTCCTCCAAGGCGGGAAACCTGTTTCTTTCCCACACCTTAGGCCCAGCCCCTCACTCCAGAAGAACTTGTTCACGGGTAGACTTCCTTAAAATAGGAATGTAAGAGTCCTCTCATGAAGTCATGTGCTTCCTCCATTCCTTCTTCATGGAAGCCTAGTCAATGAGGCAACGAGGAAAGACTTCCGTGCAGTAGTTCAAATCTCCAGTCCCCTTCCTCTCCCCACACTGCTACCTCATGATGGCCCGGACGCTGTCACTAACCTGTGACCCTTGGACATCACAAACCCCATTCTAGATGGCTCAGAAATGTGCTGGGGACATGCAACCTTCTGTCACCACACACACACACACACACACACACACACACACACACACACACACACACACATACACACACACACACATACACACTACTTGTTGAAGAAGCACTGAAATCTGTCATGGCCTTGGAAACTGACCCATCCCAGAGGAGTCAGACAGTAAAGTAGGGGCCCACCAGTCAGAACCGGGGAGCTCTGATACTCCCCAAACCTACTACACGTGGGACACAGCTGTCTCGGGTAGCACCCCAGGCTTCCATCCTGGGCAGTGGGGACAGTGACCCAATAGAGTTTATTTGGGATTAAGTGTATAGATCCCCTGTCAGCCGGACAAGGAGGGCAGCTTGTCAGGACAAGTTAGCTTCTGAGACCTTGACCCAAAAAAGAGTGTTTTAAGGGGTGGAAAAACACGTACAGCAGAATTTCTTAATGATGACAGGCTGTTTTCCTTGGCAACTCTGCTAGGGGTCTTAAAGGTGAACTCTGGTCAGGGACACTCAATGGGTTAAGGCTCTCGTATTTACTTAAAGACAGGGTCTTGCGATGTAACCCGGCTGGCTTTGATCTCCTAATCCCCCAGTCCCCATCTCCCAGACGCTGGGATTACAGGTGTGCACTGGCACTCCTGGCTTCTCCGGTGCCTTCTGCGGCTTCGGGTCTCAGGGAGGAGGTTACCTCGTCCCCTTGAGGTTTGCTTTGGGGTGACTCATTTTCCTCTTGGCTCTGAGTGGCCTCCGCAGCCTCCCCTTCCCAGAGACCTGCAATCGAACCCCGACGGCGCGTCCACCTCAGCTGACCCTGCTCACCGCGCGCGTGTGTCCCTGTTTGTTTTTCTGTAGTTTGCTGTGGAAAAGTTGTCGGAGCTGGAACTCTGGAAACGGGAGCTGCAGGGCGAGGCTCACACCCTCATAGACTTTTTCTGTGAAGACAGAGAAACGATGAGACTGGATGAATGCTTCCAGATATTCCGAGACTTCTGTATCCGATTCAACAAAGCCGTTAAGGTATGGTGGCTGTTGGTGCTGCCCTGTTTCCAGGGTCCTTGGGATTTCTATTTTTCTGCTCACTGACCCAGTCCTCTGCCCATGACAGAAAGATGGTCATCGGTTCTTTGGTTTCAGGACCATCTGGCTAGGTGTCACGCCAGGCTCTTGGCAGGGAAGAGTGGGAGGTGGCTCTGCTGTAGCCTCAGGAGTCTGTCACCATGGCCTCTGGCCTTGGCTGATCATACAGCATTCAGAACGCCCTAGAAGCATTTTGCTAGCTTATGTTGATGAGACTTGGAAGTTTCCTGCACATCTGACTGTTTTTTTCTCAACCCCTCCCTAGGAGGAAGTGTCAGCTTCTAGGGAGGCTTGAGTCACCTAGAAAAGAGGCCTTCCTCTTGCCTATTTCCAGAGCCACACACCATTGTGGTATTAGCACCATGGGGTGCTGTCATTAGTTAGCAAGACCTTGAAGGTCTCCCAGGTTGAGGGGGCCTGCTGCCTCAACCATTCAGGCAGTGGTCTCTTGGTTGAATTCAGAAGCCAGAAAACTTCCCAGGTTGCTGGGCCTTGGTAAATGAAGCATTTATCTGTCGATAAAAACATAAAAGTATCTCAGATCCCATTATTTCAGGTGACATTGAGGAACCAGCTACCCCTAATTCACATTTTATTTACTTACCAGCCTATTCATTTACTTATGGTGTAGGATTCAACCTGAGGCTGGCACTATTGCTGTTTTGAATGCAGACCATAGATGGATTTAGTAGAGGAACTGGTCACATTGCTTCCAAGTCCAGAATTCCTTTGGGTTCCTAGCCACGCCTTTCCCCATCTAGCTGAGTGAAGGGAGCTGAGCCTGCAGCCACGTTAACATGCTTCTGTCCAAGCAGTGAGCTCAGCTGTGGGAGGCTGGGGGGGTTGGCCAGAGTCTAACTGACTGCCTTGGAGGCTCTCACTCCCCATCTGGATACTGCAGGCCTGTGAGGCCACTGTGGGAATCTCTCAGCCCAGTCATCATGAGAGTCGGGGCCTGGGCCACCCCCAACTATGTGAAGGCTTAAAAATGAGAAGACCAAGAAACTTGGGGACCCGAGGGAGGCTGTGGCTAGAGTTGCAGAAGGAGCCAAGACTCCCCAGGCAGCACTCCACAGGAACTTGGAAAGGAAAGCCCACTGGAAGAGGAAATGTATTGTCAAATAAAAACTGCTAACAATAACAGAACTGAGGTGTCCACGTAATTACATGATTACGTGGACCTCAGAACCCAAAAGAAACTTACAAATTATAACACAAATACAGCTGTTTCTACATATCCACGCCTGCAGATTCAGTCAACTACAAATTGAAAATAGTGTTTAAAAGTTATGTCTGTGCTAAATGTCTATAGATTTTTTTGTTATGCCTAAACAATACATATGTAACTCTTAAGCTGCGTTAGCTATAAGTAATTTAGAGTTGGCTAAGGTATATATGAGGATATGCATAGACCATATGCAAATCCTGTTCCATTTTGCATAAGGGACTTGAGTATCCTCAGATTTGGTATCCAAGGAGGAACCAGGAATAAATCCCCTAGATATGTTGAGGGACAACAGCAATATGAGATTACTCAGAGAGGTGAAGGACACTGTGGTGTCTCCATGTGGGTTCTGTGTCATTAGGGAAGGTTGATTCCTTTCCAGCAGGGTAGATGGTTGAAGTATTTGTAAAGCACACCTGTTTATCTTGTCTGATTATGGGAATGGGATTGAGGGACAGAGCAGTCACCTCTGCTTCAGCCTGTGGTTGGCAGACCCACCAGGGCATTTTTGGTATTTGTTCATTTATTTTTATCCAGGGAGGCACTCCAAGAACATGATGAAAGGTGTCTCTCAATGTCTTTGGCCTATGCTAACATACCCCAATCAATATTAACTAGAATGTCCTGCTTAGGAGTATATGTGCATTGACTTATAGTGGGATATGGATAGAGCCGTGCAACTGGGTTGTACAATTTTGTGTGCACTCTTTCAGCATCTACGGTATTTTATTTACCTCTCTACAATTGCTTAGGTAGCTTTGCTGGAGTTGAGACTGTGTGCATATATGGAATCATAACCCATACTGGAAGCTGGGCATTGGGCGGAGGGATCAAATGAGAACTATAGACAGATTGTTGGGGCCAAGCCTAGCATGACCCTTTGTCACACTCCCTCAGTTGCTTTGGGAAGCTTTCCCGCCCTACACACATACACATGTGCAGAAGAAGGCAGAGCCTGTGTCGGGAGGGACCCGGGGCTGTCCGTGAAAGCACCTCTCATTAAATCTTACAGCGAGTGGGCCTAGTACTGCACACAGGCTCTCGGCATCTCATGCTGTCTTCTCTCCACTCCGTTAGGACAACCATGACCGGGAGGAACAAGAGCGGAAACAGATACAGAGGCTGAAGGAGCTGGAACAGAAGCGACATTCTTGGACAACTGGAGAGCTCGGAGGCTTTGGCAGAAGCAGCAGTGAGAATGATGTGCAGATGCTAGCTAAGAAGGGCACAGAAGACCTGCCGTCCTTTCTGAAGCCCAGGCCCGCCAGCCCCTCCTACCGGCCCCCCAACACCCGTCGCTCTCGCCTCTCCCTGGGCATCTCTGCTGACCGAGAGCTTTTGACCTTCTTGGAGAGTGCCACCAGCAGCAGTCCAGAGGACCCCAACAAATTCAACAGCTTACCCCGGAGCAGTCCCAGACAGCCCCGGCCCACCATCGCCTGGATGGAGCCCAGAGAACAGCAGCACTGTGACCCCAGCTTTGTTCATGAACCTCAGGCCGCCAAGAACCAGGAGAAAGCCCCTCTCTTTGCTTGGCAGAGTCAGCTTCCAGCGCCCCAGCCGGAGGAACCTGCATCTCCTTTCCCGCGGACTGGACGGGGCAGGGCGAGCATCCTCCGGAAAAGGAACAGTGAACCCATGGGCTTGTGTCCCACACAAAGCCCTCCTCTCCTACCATTGGATCTGGGCATCAGGGAGCATGAGCTGGTCACAGGGCTGACCCAGTTTGACCTCCAGAGTCCCAAGAGCCTGGAGGAGGCATCCCCACTGACTCTAAATGGCTTTTGTCCCCCAAAGCTGCAGTCTCCAGGGGATCAGAGCTCACAGTCCTTTGATGCTGGCGGGGACAGCCTCACACCCAAGGACACAGGTCCCCAGGAGGTTCTCAGCCCAGCTGGGGAGGACGACAGGGCTGTCCCTGATGAACCCAGCAGTGCGGCTCTTGTGTCTGTGGTTGTCACTGACACTGAAGATAAGGATCCTGGGCCTCTGTTATATGTCTCGGATACCACAGACTGCTCGCTCACTCTGGACTGCTCAGAGGGAACCGACTCCAGACCAGGAGGAGAAGAGCTGGAGGAAGAGAGAGCAGGAGATGGCTCAGTGTCCTCTGGGGCTGGAGAGGCAGGCAGCAGCCAGATCTCCAACCCTGCTTCCAGTCCCCCAGGGGAGGTGCCCGCTCCCGACTCCAGTAAGAGTGAGCCCAGCTGCCAGGGTGGCCTACCGAAGGACAGACCCAGCAAAGGGAAGGATGCCACAGCACCAAAGAGAAATTCCCTCAAAGAGGCATCACCGGGGGCCTCAAAGCCGGTCAGTGCCCGGCGCAGCCAAGGGGTAGCCCCCAAGTCTGTGAGAACCTTGAACTCCTCTGAGAATGAGCACATGCGCAAGGTAGTGCCCATCTCCAAGTCCAGCAGGGGAGCGGGGGCCTGGAAGCGTCCGGAGCTGACATCCAGGGCTTCCCCTCGGGAGACACCCAGCAGCACAGACACACTGCTATCACGAAGGAGCTCAGTGCGGGGGACCTCCGACACTTCGCCCAGGAGGCCCCACGTGAGTGGGCCAGGGACAGAGGAGCCCAGGCTGCCCCGCTCGAGTGGAAGCATGAGTGGGCGGCCAGGGAAGGAGGCCGTGGTACAGCCCAGGGCCTCGTTTCGAAAGCCCAGCGCCAAGCCCCTCAGAAACATCCCCAGGCAGAAACCCGAAGAAAACAAGGTCAGCAGCCCCACCTCGCAAGATTCTGAAAGCCTCACGGAAGAGCCCAAAGCACCTCAGACTCCGGGTGTCTCTCGAGCCCTTCCCCCCGTCCCAAGCTTTGCCCGAAGTACGGTGGCCTCCTCATCTCGGTGCATGCGAACAGATGCTCCACCTGTGTCCAGAGCTTCTGGCATCACCAGGACAGTCTCCCAGCGGCAGCTTAGGGTCAAAGGTGGCCCCGAGGATTCTGCCTCCAAGGACAGTGGCACTTTGAAGAGGGCCAGCAGCGCCAGGGCCTCCAAGAAGTGCCCTGAATCTTCCGGGGGTTCAAGTGTCAATGCAGAGACCCCCCTGAAGGGCAGAGGGACTGCGGAAAGATCCTCTCTCAGACTGAAGGACTCGGGGCAGGCTACCCTAGGGAGGCTCCTCCGTCCCCTGCAGAAGTGATGGGGCCTGTCTACATCTCTGCCTTGTGGGATTTTACCTACCAGGACTGGCTGCTGGGGTGAGGACAGGAGAAGCCAATCTTTAATGTCCTGTTACACATCAAGCAACTCTCAGGTGCCACCTGTTAAAGGTCACGTCCCTAAAGGTACATGGAGATCTGTAGCCTGCTGGGCAGACTTCTGCTCTGAAATCAAGGCTGAGAATACTCTGCTCTACACAGTACTTTGCCAGGCCCCAGCACCTCCTGTCCTTCATACTCAGGACCCGAACCCTAACTCCTGCCCCGAGACAAAGATCCGGCAATAGTCTGGACATGTAAGATGACAATTCTTATGTAACAAGTAAAAAACAATTTCTGGCCAGTTTTTATATATCAAAGACTTATTTTTTAATATTATAAAAATAAAATGATGTTTTAGTTGGTTCCTTTTTCGGAGTGAAATGCCTCCCTGGGGAGGGGGTATTATCCTTAATATGAAGATGTTTGTACCTTCGTGCCCCCAGCCTCTGGGTTCCATCTGGGCATGCGCACACACAAACACGCACACACACACACACACACACACACACACACACACACACACACTATCCCTGGCCAGCCATGGATTGGGTCTGTCTCCTGGAGGACTTTATGCCTTCCTTGGGTTTTCTCCTTAAATGACTCCGGGTGAGGATTTTATGTGAACAGGATGTCAGATTTGTGTGGGTAGAAATCTGATGTAAGTTCAGGGCGTCCCAAGGGTGTGAGATTCATGGGGGAGCCCATGGCTGTAGGAAAGTTTGCCCTGAAGACAGGGTCAACCGTGTAGGGAGCTGGATTTTCTGCAGTCTGTGTCGTGTTTTAGTGGGAAGACAGAGGGTCTGCTCAGCTGAGCATATCTTTACCTCAGCTTCCCGTCTGTGCAAATCACTCCCTTTTGTTGCTCTGTGTGGAGAAGAAAAGGACCCTTTCTGTGGGCCAGGCTTCCTTCTCTCCTGGAGCCTCAATACCCCACCCCCACCTCTGTTATTTTATTTATTTTGCTTTTTGAGACTGGGTCTCACTGTGTAGTCTAGGCTAGCCTCTTAGAATCCTCCTGCCTCAGCCTCCTGAGTGCTGGGTCAGGGGGTATAGCTCCAGTGATGGCTTCTTGGTGGCAGCTTCTCTTCCAGGGTATAGTGCTTTTGTTTATTTGTTTGTTTTTTTGAGACAGGGTTTCTGTGTAGCTTTGCGTCTTTCCTGGATCTCGCTCTGTAGACCAGGCTGGCCTTGAACTCACAAAGATCCGCCTGCCTCTGCCTCCTGAGTGCTGGGATTAAAGGCACGCGCCACCACCGCCCGTCGGTATAGTGCTTTTTAAGTCCTGAAAAGCCAAACCAAGGTTGGTTGGTTCATTGTAAACAGACTCCCACCCCCAAGAAAACCTGATTTCAAAAACTTTGCCATCAGGGAAATGTGTATCGAGATCAGGCGTCATGAAGCATGAGCCCAGTTATCGCCCAATGTTCATTTCACTACTTTATTTTTTAATTTAAATTTTTATTTATATGTGCATTGGTGTTTTGCCTGCATGTATATCTGTATGAGGGTGTCAGATCCCCTGGAACTGGAGTTACAGACAGGTGTGAGCTGCCAATGTAGGTGCTGGAAATTGAACCCGGTCCTCTGGAAGAGCAGCCAGTGCTCTTAACTGCTGAGCCATCTCTCCAGCCCCCACCCCACCCCACCCACATGCACACTTTATTTTAAAGTTTTATTTTTACACTACTTCTTCATTAAACCTGGGAAATATAAAACATGCTTGAAACTCTTGATTTTTTTAAAGCCCTTCTCTTAGACCTCACTTTGGGTGGAGACTGGCTGTGTGGTGACTGTGGATGGTGCTATGGTTGGTCTCCCTTTGGTGAATTGTTGCCTTTCTCCTTTGGCTGGAAACTGAGCTGCTGCACCTGAGCTGAGGTAGTGAACAGAAGCAAGGGCCAGTCACCATCTCTTGTATTCTTGTAGAAAAAGAGTGTGTGTGTGGGGGGGGGGGAGGTAAGGAGGGAGGGAGAGAAGGAAGGAAGGAATACAGCCCTGAGGATATGTGTCTGGGCTGCTGGGAAAATCCTAGAACATGGGTTATCAACCTGTGAGCCACAACCCCATGGGGGTCATATATCAGATATTTATGTTATGATTCATAACAGTAACAAAATTATATAATTATAGTTGTGAAGTAGCACTGAAAACAATTTTATGGTTGGGGGTCATCACAACATGAGGGTCGCAGCATTAGGAAGGTTGAGAACCACTGCTCTAGAACCAGGTAGACAAAAATTGTCTCAAACCCTCCCCCTGTGGGTGGAAGGGAAATGTGTGAAAGAAGACGTATGCGTATGGGTTTGTGGACGGTGAATGGGGAGGGCCCATTGGAGAGCCCCCAGGGTCCGATCCTTGCTATAACCCAACACCATGTTGCAAGCGCCTCCTCTCCCTAAGTGTCTGTCTCCTGGTCCACAGAAGTGAGACGTGGCCTCCGTGATGGTCTCCAGTGACCTACCACCACCTCAATGGTCCAGGACCAGTGTCTGTCCCTGAAGCAGCTTCTAGGATCCTGAGCAGAGGCTGTGCTCCAGGGCTGCTCCATAGATGCCTGTCAGTATGGTGCTATCAGACCACAGTGGCTGGGAGCCCTGAGAAGTGGCATCCCCGGCCCTGTGTACATCTGTGTGAACAGGTGGTCACTCCCTTACTCCCTTGTATGTACAGTAAGTTTGGAAAAATAATCTGCAGCAGAAAAATGTAAATACGGTTCTACCTTTGTTGGTTGAGGGTGAGCTGAATGTACTTAAAGGTCCGTGTCTATGTGCTTTACGGAACAGGTAGTTTAATAAAGTTATTTGTAGGAGTTATGTTTGATCTCAGCTGCCTTTGTAGATGTGTCTGAGCTTTCCTGCCAGGAGGGTGTTTAATTTCTGTCCCAGAAGGAAGGTGAGATGCAGGAAGAAGAGGGGCTGGGATATGGCAGTCTTGGCCTCCAAAGGTTCGAAGAGTCAGAATAAGGCTCAATGGGGTGTCTTGGTATTAGCTCCATGCCATGCACACTTAACTGAGGGCTTGGGAGTAGGCTTTGCTACAGACCTGTAGGGATCCAGGTTTGTCCCACAAGCCATCATTGGAGCACTTGAGGCTTCTTAGGGCTTTCATTCCATGCAGAGCCAAGCTTTATGTGATCTCCATGGGGCTGGCAAGTCCGGATCTGTCCCTATGTGTCCTCTTTGAATTGGGACACTCATTGGGAAATCGCAGCTCATTTCTGTGTCTGGTTCAGGAATGAGCAGAGGGAGGGAGGTGTTGAATTTGAAATGCGCTGTGGGTGCATATTTGGAAAAGAGAGGAGCATTGTGGGCAGGTGGCACCTAATACCTCAGGTTTACATCACACTCTAGTCCTAACTGCTCTGTCCGAGTGTCCCCAGGTATAAGCATCCAGGATTAGCTATATCCATGTGTTAAGGTAAGAGGCCCTGGGATACTTCAGTAGAACTCAGTACCCTTTCTGTGGTGTACAAATTCATGAACATCTGCTTTCAAATGTGCAGTGTGTCCTTCCCCTACGTCCCCTCCATCCCCTCCATCCCCTCCTGCAAAGACTCCACTTTAGAAAATTTCCCTGAAACTTCATTCTTAGTTTTTCATTGTACTTTTACTTATGTTCAATTCCTGTTTAAAACAATTAAGTTTTTTTTTTTTTTTTTGTAAATGTCCCCACATATAAGTATCAAACATAAAATTTGAGTAAGGGACATTGCATCATTCGGCAAATGCTTCTTAGAATGATTTGGGCTGTGGGTATAGGGGGTCTACAGTTATCATACTTAGCATCCACAGGGAAAGAATGTGTAGCTCAGACTAGCTACATGGCATGACTGAGCACATAACCCTGAACTACTGGGCTTCACCATCCCCAAGTGTCTTCCAGTTAACATATGCCATGCCTCACTGGGCCACCTAAATGAGGACAAGAGAGGCCAACCACAGCTTTTTTGTCTTCCAGTCCAGAGTTCTGTAATGGAGTTTCTGTTTGATGGGAAACTGACTGTACCCAAAGAGCATCATGGTCTTCATAGCCGGTCTGTGCATGCCCAGACCCATGGCTGTGCCATCGAGGAATCTGGCATCATGGCCACCAGCCTGTGGGGTGAAGGTGCTAGACCTTTCAATGAGGAAATCTGCTTGAAGCCCCCGTTGTTGGATTCTTGGAATCCGATCCTAGACTTTGACCTGGCCTCCTCAGGCACTTCCAAGGGCCAGATCATGCAGACCATGTCTAACCTGCAAATAGACGGTATTCTCCGAGTTTATGTGGGTTTGATTTGGGGAACTGCGAATGCACTTTTCCTTGGTAACCATGTCTCACCCCAGAAGCGGTTTCCCAGGACAGACCCTCTGCTATAGGTCTGGATGCCTCTGCCCCCACTCATCCCATCTGATGGAGTCTAAAGCCAAGATGGCGGTATTAGGAGCTGAGGTCTCTGGGAAGTGCTTTGTGTGAGGGTGGAGCTTATGTGAACAGGGTTAGTGTCCTTATAAAAGAGGACCCAGCATACTGGTGAGAAGGCACCATCATGTACCAGGAATCAGGATTTCCTAGGTTCTTGGTCTTGGACTTGGTAGCCTCTAGAGCTATGAGAAATAAATTTCTGTTCTTTATGGTTTTTTTGGTGTACGGCATTTTGTTATAGCAACCTGCGTGGACTATGACACTATCTATAAGAGGGCTGTGGCTATGACCCCACCATAAAAAAGAATCCCACTTATAGCAGCATTTTCTGGGGCCAAGTACAGTATTCCATGGGTGTCAGGAGTGTCCCCTGTCTCCTAACAGCAAGTAGAAGCTAAGGCACTGTGACCTGAGGGAACCAGTAACCAGTGAACTAACTTCCACACTCAAAATCAGCCCCTCAGGGCAAATGCAAGGGCAGGCAGAAGCACAGCTATCTTCTAGGCCAGCCCTAGGAAACATGGGCCGTTTCTCTGTCTGTGACTTCCTCTTGCCTGTTCTTCACGAGGCACACACTGGCCCTACGGGAAGGAGATCACTCCCTGTTTTCCATTTTCCAGAAAGAAGGCTAGATTTAGTCGTTTGCTGCCTGGACACCCTCGAGAAGGGGGCAAGCATAATGGGAACATAGCCAGTGCTGTCAGCTGGTAGCTAGGCGAGTGATTGACAGGATGTTCCGTGCAGACAGTGAACTCTCCTTGGAGCCTTTCAAACCAAAGGCATCTGGGTACCCAGCCGTCATGTGGAGGCCTCCTGTGACTAACGGGACCATTAGGGGTCAGGGATTCCCGGTCCACGCCAGATCTACTGAGTCAGGATCTTCCCAAAGAGCTCCCAGCTTTGAATGTTAAGCAACGTCCTAGTGGTCACTACTCATCCTGCCTTTGAGGCAGGCCAGAGGGCTAACCGACCTCTCTGCTTTAGTCTGAAGGCTTGTGTTGTCCCTCTAGGGACATCACTCCCAAGACGAGGAGGTGAGTTGATCCGTTGGTCCCTTTGGAAGCCTGTGTTGGACACTGTAGGTGCCTCACTCCCGGAGCAAATTGTGTGGACTTGACTTCTCCTTTGAATCCGGAGCTTTCGGTCATGTCGCATTGGAGCTTCCGTGAGGACAAGTCCAGGGAGCACAGGAAGGGACCCTTGACTCCATCTTGCCACGGCAGGCCTTTAGAAAGGTCAGAGCTTTGTGAGTGGGAAGCAGCGCTGCTAACACACGACGGATCTTGCCGAGCATTGCCTGAGTGCTCACAGGAAGACAGTCAGCAAAGCTGCTCTTCACTGCTTGGCTTCCCGTGTGTTGGAGCATCTCACAGCCTTTGTGAGAGTCACTTCAACTGGACGCTGGGAATTTGGCTAGTGGCTGGAGTTTCTTCCCTCTTGCTCCATCCCTGGGGCCAGGCTGGCCAGCGTCCTTGCTGACCTCACCTCACAGGACTGGGGTGGGCACAGCTCTCCAGGGTGCTGACTCTGCATCCTGGGTAGGCTTCAAATATGCTCTCTGCAGCCAGTCAGTATGTGAGAAGACAGACACGGAGGCAGCCCTCGGCCCTGAACAAAAGTATAGACCCACCTCATCCCAAATCTGTCACATGTGATATTTCACCTGTCATCACAATGGCTCCCTGCTGGTCTGAGAAGGCTGCTGAGAGGACACAGGCAGTCTTCCCACTTTCAGGGACAGCAATTGTATGATTTGTATGGGTAAGCACTAGAGACGAGCTTGAGTGCTTTGGATAAAAGTGATGGGGCTGCTTTGGAAACTGCTCCAGCAAAAAAGAACAGTACCTCCATTCAGCTGTGGCTCACCGGTCAGGGCTAGCTCCTTGTTTCCCAAGGCCTAAGCGTTCCCCAGCCAGCTGATTCATCTCCGGGGAGGAGAGGAAAGCAGTGGGCTGCCTGCAGGGCAGGCTTCTTCACTCAGCTGGGAGACAGACAGCAGAACCGCCTTCCCACCCCCACAGGACCTCCTACTCCCGAGTTCAAGATCGACTCTAATACAATAGAAGTTGGAGTTGCTAGGCAAGCAGCTGGCTTTCAGGCCTGATTGCTCATAGTACTTTCCCAAGCCCCTGCTTTTCTCACTAGCTCGTAACATTGAACTCTAGCTACAGCTTGTTCCCCCCACAGTGTGTGGCTTTGCAAATACGCGTCACACTTGCACTGTCCCAGCCACTAAGTGGGAGATTCCGCTTATCGACAGAGGAATTCTGCGAGCCAAGGTGGCCACCAGAGCGCTATCTACGGTCACCTTCATGCAGCTATCGTACCAGAGTAAAGCCAACTGGTCTGTCTGGGCACTGTCTTCAGTCTGGGGACCCACCTTCCAGGAAGGACACTCACGAGGTTGGGTGTGACAGAGAATACGACACAGATAGCCAGGTCCTGACCATCGTGTCTGAGGATACTCAGCTGAGGCCGCTGAGATCATTTAAACTGAAGAGCTAGAAGAGCTGGGTGGTAGAAACATCCTACTCTGTGTCTTTCCAAAGATGACCACTCTTCAAGTGAACGCCGAAGCTACATGTCCCCCTCCCTAGGTGAGAGGCCTCTATGTCGCTTCTATTGGAATGCTCCAGTCCTGTGGAGAGACTGTCCCTGACTCAATAACTAACTGGATCTAGAAGTACCTGGAGGCCATTTTTTCCTGTGCATGGGACATATCCTGGGAAGGACAGCTGCTGTGTCACATGTGTTGAGAAGACACTCCTGATTGTCACCGGCAGCACGGTACTTCATGGAGCTGCCTGCTCTCGCCAGCATTTGGCTCCTGTCAGCATTGCCACTTAGCAGCGCCATGACCTTGGCAAACTGTGCTGAGAGCTTCTCTGCTCGGGAACCACCGATGTCTGTCCTCAGAGTAGTTCCACAGCACGTGACCATCTTGATGCAGGGTTGTCTGTCACTGGTACCAGGTCAGAGCCCTGAGATGACAACACCTCCATCAGGGCAGCAGCCCCACTGGGGGATGGGTGAGGCAGGCTGGCTTCAGCTATGCCTGCAGGATGGAAAGGTTTTGAGAGACCTCCCTGTGGCAGGCAGAGAGGCCAGCGGGCTCCAGAAGTGCCCCATGACTGATCCTTGATCCATTCCTATCTGGCTGAGACCTTGGGCAGGCCACTGACCTGAAATGCATTTTCTTTTTGCTTCCTCCTCTAGTGGAGAATTCAAGGCAGAGTATCACAACACCTGACACTACATAATAGCCAGGTTGTGTTGCGTTTATTGATCTATAAAATGCTCTTGCTTTCTAAAGCCCATGATCTCATCCTAGAGGTCAAAGTCTTCTGGAGATTTCCTCCTATCCAGATCTCCTGGAGTCCCTCTCTCCTGGGTAATGTTTGCCCAACATCTATAAGGAGCAAGGTGCCCTCTATGTAGCAGTGAGCAGTGTGTTGGTGCCAGGAAAGGCCAAAGGGACAAAGTGTGTCCAGGGCTCACTCTCAAAGTTAATGAGTTCATTAGGATCATGGAGAGTGCAGAGTTCTCATCTCTGAGGCCCTGCAAGTCACTCCAGGGTCACCTGCTTTCTCATGGTTCTACTCTGGTGTGTCTCCTGTCTACATCAAACCTGCCTGCCCTGCTGCAAGGAAGTCAAGACAGAGGGAGAGAGACGTCAGGGCCACTGGCAAAGAGGAGACCTAAAGATACTGGGTAAGACTCATGAGACACCCCCCTCATTTTACACTGGTTAGGGCTGGGCCAGTTGTATATCCCCTTTAAATGGGTTTTCTCATTGCCCAAGGAAGGTAGGGCTCAGGGACCAGCAAGATCCCCTGGGGCTGTGGCTCTTGGGTGCCACACTTGTAAGAGTTGTTGGGATGTTGAGTCTGCCTCCTTTACTTCATGGTTTATGCTACCCTGAGGACTTTCACTAAGGTGCAAGGATCCCCCCGCCCCACCTCCCACCTTGTGCCAGTCTTTGTGCTGACCTTCTCTGTGGAGAACGTGGGCATTGGAGCCATGTGCACCCGGTCAAATCCCAACATTGCTGTTTACTAACTGGGTTACCTAAGTTTCTCATGTGTCAAATAAAAAAGGCCATGTCTACGTTTTGAGGCAGTTAATCAAACTGGAAACATTCTGGAGCCCAGAAGCTGCTGAGTAAATGGTGACTTGGCTATTAGGAAAGTCTGTCCTATGACTATTTACTGAGTACTTGGTGACTGGCCATGGCTCAGCACTCTGACGAGGACGTCCTTAAGAAAAGCAGAGGGAGTTAATAGCTTATGCCACTCTTTTTCACAAATGAGAAACACTCCTAAGAGAAAAAGGACTCTGGCTTGTCATTGACTTCCAGAGAATTTCCAGAGTCAAAGGTCTAAGAGCAACTGGAGCACAGCAAGGCACTGCATCTCATGCGTGGCTACCCACACATGATGCATGTTTCCAGTAACTCATCTTTAAAGTTCAGGGGCCACATCACAGAGGCACTTTCCTCCAGAGGCCTCAGTGGTGGAGAGGGAGTCTATGCCTTAAGCCTGTGTCATGTCTGTCCCATCCATGCGGACTCCCTCCCTCAGTATGGCCAGGGTACTCAGCAAAGGGCCTCAGCCACTGGTTAGGGCTTGAGTGTCCATGTCCAGGGTAAGCTGGGCACCAGCCTGGGTCCCCTGCTGATCATCTGGATTCCTGCCAACTCAGTGTGGGCCTTAGTGACTAAGCCAGTCACTTATTTCCCTGTAAGCCTCAGCAGCCCCCAGGTTGGGACTGTGGCTGGTCCCTTGACTGTCTCACATGGAGTGCAGTGGGGACAAGAACTCCCTTCAAGGGGGCTTTGGTCTTGTATGATATGTGCATATTAGAACTGAGTGGTGTTCTTCCTAAGAGCCGACTGGGAATGGTGCTTTGCTATAGTTCTAAGTTGGAGACAAAGGAGATTGCTAGCTTGCTTCCTTTCCGTTTGCTGGTTGCTACATTGACCTTCTCTAGAGGATTTTTTTTTTCCATCTCTGGCTGGCCACAAAGAGAACTATCTCATCCATGTCACTGAAGGACTTAGAAAGGATGCATACTCAAGACTGTGCTGGCTGGCATCCCCAAATCCAGCAGGCGACAACTGAGTCAGCCAGTGCAGGTTTTCTTGACCCTGACGTTGATGAAGTCAAAACTGAGGCAAGGGGTGGCTGTGGAGATGGCTCACTGGATAAAGCGCTTGATGTAAAGCATGAGGACCTGAGTTCAGATCCCCGGCACCCATGAGACGATGCAGGCTTGTAATCTCAGTGCTGGGCAGACCAAGACAGGTAGATCCCTGAGCATACTGGCCAGTCAGTGTAACCAACTGATGAGCTCCAGATTCAGTGAGAGATCCTGTCCCCAAGAATAAGATGGACAGGCTAGAGGGAGATCTCTGATGTTGGCTTCTGACCTTCATATGCACGCACACACGAATGCGCAGTACACACACACACACACACACACACACACACACACACACACACACACATTGTTCCCAACTGTGGTGTTTGAAGCATGGCTACCCTTTGGAGGGTAAGTAGTCATGTGAAAGGGACAGGTGTGAGGGACCTCCTGTGGTCTGGGGATGTTCTGTGCTGGTTCTATGAGCATGTATAGGTTCTGAAGACTTGTTCTTTTGATATGTGCAATTTCCCCCTGTGTACACACACTATGATTTAATAACAACAACAACACAAGGTCAAACACGTGGTTCATGAAGGATCTAGGGGGCACTGCGGGTAGAAATCATTTTGAAAGCTGCTTCTCTGAGGACTTACTGTTCCACCTCATCTGCTAGAAAATGACAGTCATAAACCTTGGCCGGGGCCCACGCTAATACCCGTGCAACTCTTCTCTCAGCAGCTTTATGGACCTGCGGGCCCAGCAAACTGTTGACATCAGCGTGGTGTGCCCACACGGGGCAAGGGTTCTAGATACGCTGCAGTTAGAGCCAGGGAATACCGAACAGGCTGTGGGAAAGATGGTCCCTTCAATCCCTTCTTGTGCCTCAGTGCTGTGGTGACATCATATCCTCCAACCTGGATCCCTCCCACTGAAGCCTGGGTTTTGCTCTCACCTGTCCAGAGAGGGTGAGCTCATCCGAGTTCTGAGGCCGTTGTCCTGGAAAGGAAAAACACTCAATAACGCTGAAAGAGCAGGACAGAGCCTCCCCACCCGTTAGGAGGCCTTCCCCTTGAACTTCACACGAGCACAAAGCATTGCCTTCAGACCGGGTGCCCATGTGATAAGACACACACAGCCAAGCCCTCCAAACAATCGCGAGGGAAAGCTGGCTTGAGCAATTGGAAAATGGAGCCTGGCAGAGCCTGGGGCTAGAGCAAGCCCCTCGTCCTCTCACGGCTATGAAGTTGGCTGGAGCCGCTCCCCTGCCCTCCAAGGGTCACTCACGATTCTTAGGCCTCATTCAGAGAATTGAGTGAAATCATTCCCAAGACCTCTAGACAAGAGTAAAATTCCCATGCCCCTGAGAAGCCCGGGCATTTCAGGTTGACTGGCTGGAATTGGGTGGCCTTGTTTTGTATGATACCATGACAGCAAAGGAAGAAACTGACTGTGGTGTACAATTATGACCAGGTTGTGCAAAGCCCTTTCAAGCGGGTGTTACTGCATTTTTACCCTTTACCTCTAATCTCCACTCCCACCCTCACCCAGCAGGCACCAATTATAATGTATTTGATACCTGTTCTTATAAGTGTGTGTTGATAGAGTGTACATGCATCTCTATGTCTCTACAGATAATAGCCTTGAAAGAATTATAGCACAGTTTTGGGTGTTTTTAAATTTATGTATGTGAGTCAGGCATAGTGGCACATTCCTATAATTCCAGCACTTGGGAGGCAGAGGCAGGAGGACCACAAGTTCAAGGCCAGCCTCGACAACCTAGAGAGTCTGTGTACAAAAAAGAACCCCAGGAGATTTCCATAAAATGGTCGGGCGCTACAAATCCCACGCTGCCCCTTCATTTTGCATGTGTCTATATTCTTTCTCCTTGCTGTGTGTACATCCGGCCTGTTGACTCTCACTGACACAAGAGTCCCTTTGTATGTGACTATCCCATTGTTCTTCCCCTTCCTCTTACAACTAGACATCTTTGTTTCTTACAGACCACACCATGACACACAGGGCCTCAGTGAACGCTCCACTCTTCTCCCAGTACCTGCAAGGGAGGTCCTCATTAAGCAGAGATATATTCATTGTCACTAAGTACTGCCAGATGCCCTGGGGTCAGCAGCAGCTGAAGTGGCTGAGCAGTTGGGGTGGCAAAGGCTGGCACAAGGCTTGCTGAACAAGAGCTATTGTTTGGCTGCTAATCTTTGTGAAGGGTGCGTGTTTTAATTGGTTGGCCCTTATTTTAAGAGCCACAATCCCCTCGGGCCAGGTAATGGGTTAATAAACAGTTGTGATTCCGGTTACTAGTCCATGGCCTGTCTCCCCTGCTACACTGAGAGTCCTCCTAGGGTTGGTCCAGGGTTTTCCGCACCCACAGCTGTGTTAGGCCATGCCTCAGACACAGCAGTGCAGCAGGTGGGTTGGGGACTATACTTGAGCGGGAGGAGCAGATCAGAAGTTGCAATAGGGAAGCCAGGCAGTGGTGGCGCACGCCTTTAATCCCAGCACTCGGGAAGCAGAGCCAGGTGGGTCTCTGTGAGTTTGAGGCCAGCCTGGTCTACAGAGTGAGTTTCAGGACAGGCACCAAAACTACACAGAGAAACCCTGTCTGGAAAAACCAAAAGAAGAAGGAGGAGGAGGAGGAGAGGAGGAGGAGGAGGAGGAGGAGGAGGAGGAGGAGGAGAAGAGAAGAAGAAGAAGAAGAAGAAGCAGCAGCAGCAACAGGGTCAGCAGGAACTAGCGCAGGGCAAGAATGTGTGCACCGAGGGGCTCTCTCAGAGGCTGGCCCACTCGGGCAGGAGTGGGAATGAGGTGTCTCTAGCATTATCCTGGGTCTGCCTCTGACCTACAGATAAAACTAAGAAAAGTTCTGACCTAGGTGCAGAGCCTTCCTCTTTCCCCATCTCTTCATTCCCTTGCACTGAGCACCAGTGCCAGGCGGGGCCTGTGCTGACACCAGGCTGCAGGAGCCTCGCAGGAGTCCCTGTGCTGACACCAGGCTGCAGGAGCCTCGCAGGAGTCCCTGTGCTGACACCAGGCTGCAGGAGCCTTGCAGGAGTCCCTGTGCTGCATGGGAGGGACAAGACAGCAGAGCTCAGTGCAAGGATGGGTGCTAAGAGGTGAAAAACTGCCTTTAATCCCAGGAGGCAGAGGCAGGCAGATCTCTGTGAGTTCTTGGCCAGCCTGGTCTGCAGAGTGAGTTCCAGCACAGCCAGGGCTGCACAGAGAAGCCCTGTCTCCAGGGGAAAAGAAAGAGAGAGGTGTCTGCCTATGTGAGGGTCGAATCTGTCCAGAAGGCAACAGATGAAGGTGTTCCTAGCAGTGCAGCCTCAGATGCTTCTGGAATGTGAAGTGCAAAGCCAAGACACGGGGTAGTAAGTGGGAGGGTGGGGGGTGGGAGTGGGTGAGGGTACGAGGCTGCACACAGAAGGGACTGCGTAGGGGTTAGAAGGATGGAAGGGTTGGAAAAATCACATGGGCTGCATCCTGGGGCAGGAACTCACTGAATGGTAGCAGAGGAGTAGCATCAAGTTGGCACATTTTGGGGTGTTCCGAAGCCACGATGAGCAGAGAGCTGGGCTGGGCTGGGCTTCTGTCTCAGTGGAGGGAGTGGGAAGTGATGCTCTAGCCTGAGGCTACTGAGCTGGGTGCACAGGGGCTCTAGAGTTCAGATTTAATTTGGGAGTGTGGAGAAGGGCTAGGTCCTGGACCCCAGGACTTCACTTCACACATACTCATGGAAGGGTATAGAAATGCATCCCCCAGCATTTGCTGACAATTGACACATCCGAGGTGAGCCGGATAGGGACTGTTGAGAAACAGAGCTCTATGAATCAGAGAGATGCCTTTCTGACAGGGTAGGGGTCTCCACTCCCCGGTAGAAAACATCTGTGGGCAATACTGTTCAGAAATGAGAGAAGGTCCCTGGAAGGGTGTCCAGTCTTCCTGAGATGATGGAGGACATATCCTCACCTCACCACCCAGAGAAGGCCATCTGGCTTCCCCCATACCCTCAGGACAGAGGCCATCACAGGTCCTAGACAGAACCCCAGGCAAGGGCAGCTCTCTGCAAGCTTGTCTACAAACAGCGGGTGGATGGCCCCCTTTGTGACTCAGCACGCAGGTCCTGGGGAAGCACTTTCCTCTTGTGAAGCTGAAACTCTTCATTCAGCCTGGAAGAAAGGAGCAGAAATGAGAAGGCCCATCTGGACATCACCGTGCAGAGCGAGCCTCAGCAATTATCTTCCTGTTGGCTTCAGCCTTCCCTCAGCTGAAGGGAAATCTTTCTTCTCCACCCCTTCACCAAACTGGCCTTTCAGGCTCTGTGGCTCAGGTGAGAGTGGTGGGGGCTGTGGTGCCTGCAGGTCTCTCTTCCTCCCCCTTCCCTCAGCTGAGCTGGTTGGCTTCCTTTGAATCTCTCCTCTGTCCCTTGACCAGCAGGTTCACGGCCAGGTGGCCGAGTTGCAAATCTGCGCAGCTTCTGCGGGCCCTACTTCCGTGGCCCTCCCCACCCCCACAGCAGCCAGGAGCAGAATCATCCCCTGAGGCTCCTTCGTGAAAAGGCCCTGAAGTCTGTGACTCCAAAACCCGACCTGAGCAGGAAACACGGACTCCAGCCAGCTTCCAGCCAGGAGAACTCCCTCTGCTCAGGACTGGTGCCAAAAGGCTGGGAATGAGGCTCAGGTGGTAGGGGTGCCGGCCAGGCACGGACCAAGTCGTGTGTTTGACACACCCCACCCCACCCCACCCCACCCCACCCCCTCACCTCCCGCACTGTACCAGATAAACCAGGTGTGGTGATGCAGCCCTAGAATCCCAGAACTCAGGGGGTGGAGGGAGGAAGGTCAGAAGTCCAAGGTCGTTCTTAGTTCCTCTGGGAGTTCAAGGACAGCCTGGGCTACATGAACTGGTCAAAAGAAAGGGAAAAAAGACAGCGAGGGAGGGAGGAAGGAAGGGAGGGAGGGAGGGAGGGTTCTAAAAGTTAGTCTGCTCTTCCTTCAACACCGTGACATTAACCTTCTGCAGCTTCCTCCAGCACCTGGGGGCTTTCCTGAAGGAGGTCTAAGCAGGCCAGACACCTGTGGGAACAGGAATGGGAACATTTTCAGCCCAGTTTTGGTTACTGGGATGCAAAAATCCGGAAGCTCCGTTGTAGAGATGTCAAGACCATTGGGAGTTTACTGTTAAATAAAACTATGACAAATTCAGTTGGTTTCTTTCAAAAGCAGCTTTCTGTCTGGTCCTCTGTGGGCCTCACTTTCTCCTCCCGCTTCTTCCTCTCTCCCTTCCTACCTTCCCTGTGAGGGAGGGAGGCCCTCCAGAAGGAAGTCTCGGAGGGATGCAAATCAGCGGACAAGTGCCCCCAGGGAAACTGGGAAGCATCCTAAACTTCTGGGAGCTGCCTCTCTGAGTGTCAAAGCACTGTGCTGCCAGGGGATGGTCCAGCCATTTAGATGCTAAACGACCTGTGTCACTGAGGGTGCGGGGCCTGGGAAAGGAGGTTATTAAAAAGGAGGCTGTTGGTTGGAGGGGCAATTTGTGTCCATGGAACCAGAAAACTATTTGGTCCCTTGGCCGACAAAACCTTTGACCTCATTCCTTAGGGGTCCAATATCTGCAGCTCCACTTGTCCTCGGCACCACTGCATTTGGGACCTTTTACTATGAGTAAGCCAGACTTTGGAACCGTCGGGTCTGCTAGCCACAGCCCAGTCAGACTAGGAAGAGAGAAGGGAGACACGGAGAAGCCAGGAGAGGAGGTGGGACCGCAAAGCCGTTTTGAGTTCTCAGGGAGACTTTACTTAAATACATGCGTATATTTCGTTGGTTTTTCCAACGGAGGCTAGAAGTAGTTCACACTGCACAAAATCATGTCACCTTCCCTGAAGAAGCCCAGCTCCAAATCAGGCTGACCCTGAGGGGTGCCACCATCATCCGCTCACCGGTGTGCGTATCTCTCAGGCTCTCTGCACAGAGCCGCGCGGATTCACACATGTGCGGACCATTTTGCACAGTGGCACAGTGTTCACCCATCTGGCTCGGTCACTGTCTTTGGTTTCTCAACAGGGCCTCACGGATGGTCAGGGAGAAAGAACTTGAAGCCCGACCGGGCTCGACAGCAAATGAGTAACTCAGCAATTCTTCCTGCCTGGAGGTGGGTGAGGTCACCTCTCTGTGTGCCAAAGGCAGGAGAGGTGAGTCACAGGCCCTCTCTTTGTTTGTCTTCGTGGTGATTTGTCTACTTACTGACCCACTGCAGTAAGAGTCCAGAGGTCTGACTATTGGCTCAGGTTTGGCGAAGTCATAGAAAGGGCACTGAGTGGAGCTCATCGGTCAACCAACAGCTGACCTCTATTGAGCTCCTTCTGTGTGTCAGGTACCACTCTGGCATAAGGACAGGATGGGGATGGGTAGTTTTCAAGTAGTTTTTGTGCTATGCCAGTGGGTGTGTGGGTAGGGGAGACGAATCCTGCAGACATACATGTGCTTTGAGACTGAAATGGTCTAGCCAAGAACTAACCATGTGACATGATACAAAACATCTCTTTGCCTGGACATTCCTTTCCTCCCCTGTACAATGAGGGTGTTGAGTCAGGTCACCTCAAGCCTCCTTCTATAGAGAGAACACAGAAGGACTTCAAACACTGTGTACTCTGCCCGGAGCATCTTTCCCGTGGTTGCAGCCTCTAATGAGAAGGATCTTTGATACTATCCTTTATCCATTGATAGCAGGAGCTCTAGATAAAGAGGCTCACAGAAGAGGAGCCCAAACCAACTCCTTGCATGGTCCAAATGGTTGTACTCCCCCACCCCCACCCCCTCCTGGCTAGAGGCCTTGCTGGGAGGCAGAATGTATAACACAGAGCAATGAAACCCAAGATGGGGCAGAGCCTGGAGAACTGGGAGGAAGGTGATGGGAACCTGTGTGGAAGGAGATGGCAGAAACTTGGAGGGCCCTGGAGACCCAGAGTCCCTCAGGCTGAAGAGGCTCCCAAGCCACTTGTCACATCCTGACTCCACCAAAGCAGTGGCCTTGGCATGGCTCCACCACAATCCAGGGAGCAGATCTGGTTTGCTGAGGGCTCTCAGGGCCAGCCCAAAATGGGACCCAAGTTCAGCCACACCAAGAAAATCTTGCTTGGCCAAAAGGACCCGTTTAGGTCTTGAGAATCAGAGATGAGAAGAAGGAGTGGAAAGTCTCCACCTTCTCTCCTGTAACGTGTAGTGACTCATATGATTTCCTTTTCATAATTCATAAGGTCACATGCTGCTTAGGAAGAGGCCCCCATGCCCAGGGGTCTGGCGCTATAAGCTTTGTAGACTTCAACAGGTATAAGACTGTGTGGTTTAACCCGGGTTATGTTCCCCCTCCTGAGCCCCTAGGGAGTGATGCCCAGGTGAGGAGATAGGAGATGATAGTCCCCTGTGGCCTGCTTTCACTTTAGGGGAAAAAGGAAGCCACCTCAGGGAACTTTGGCTCCTATCTGATTCATGTTCATTCACAACAGCGGACTGAGGAACAGTGAGTAATTGAGCAGCGAGCAAACACAAGCCAATCAAACAAGCTCACAGATCACGCTCCTGTGACACCAGGACTTCAGTGGTGGAGTCTATGACTTTGTAAGGAGTTAGGCCCTGAGCCACAGAGGCACCTCGCCCACTTCAGGGTTTTGATAAAGATTAGCTAATGCTGAAGTCAATAATAAGCCACACTATGGTTGTGTGCTAGCCATGTGACCAGCCTGAAGAATTTAAGAGCAAGTGAAAGAAGCCACAGCATGGGCAGCTTGAGAAGGCCCTGGGCAGGCACTCAGTACCCTGGATGAGGTGACTAGGAGGTCAGGGAAGTTTAAGAGCTGGCGGCAGCCCCGGGCCAGTCTGGAAGGCAGGTGCAATGCCTGTGTTTTCTCCTTCAAAGAGCACAAAGAAAGACTCTTTTGGAATTAGGGGAAGGACTAGAGACTTCTCAGATTTACAACAATAAGTGTTGAGCATTATTAAAGAAACTCCTCCGTCAATTTATAGAGAGGACTAGAATGGTCATTTTGTAGCTAAAAGAGATTCTTGGGGAATTTTGGCCTGAGGTCCTAGACCTGGTGATACCCAGCTGCTGGCCACAACTGTGCTCCAAGCACCCCTAAAAAATGTCTACACCAGTCACGCATTGACACATTCATGAGGAAAGCAAGTTTTGAATGCCTTTAGTTGAGTGGGCATGGCCTCTACTCTGACTTTGCTTTTCAGTTCTCCAGCCTAGAGCTGGGCCCTTGCTCAGTGCCCTGCTACCACTGAGCTCCACCCTCGTCAAGCTTAGATCTCCAGACCACCTCTGACTCTCTTATTTTTAATTTCTTGTTTGTTTTCTGAGGTAGGGGTGATGGCATACACCTGTAATCTCTGCATTTGGTAGGTGGAGGTCAGGGCATATGAAGTTCAGGACCATCCTGAGTAAGTTCAAGGCCATTCTGGTTACATGATACCCTATCTCAGGGGAAAAAAAAAGAATCAAACGTATATTTATATGTATGTATTATATGTGTGTGTGTGTGTGTGTGTGTGTGTGTGTGTGTGTGTGTGTGTGTATGTTTTCAATGTTAGGTTGAACTCAGAGCCTTGCACATGTTGAGCAAACACTCGACTGCTGAGCTACAGCCCAAGCCCAAATATGTATTTATACACACACACACACACACACACACACACACACACACACACACACACACACTCCATGACAGGGTGACCAGGAGTCTGGGTGGGAAGGGAGTGGTGCAGAGTCATGCACTGAGGAACTTGCCTGTTAAGGTCTTTGGAAGAAAATCTATCACGTGAGGTTAGGACTCCACCGTGCCTAAAGGAGCCCTCTGGAGAACCTCCAGTCCATGGGGGTTCAGATGGAGCTGGGGGTTCTCATGGCATGTGCTTCCTGGGACTGAGGAGTAAGGGTTTACTGCTTTAAACGGGGCAACCCAGGAAAACCAGATGAGCTGGGAACCTACCGGTCCTCTCCGTGCTGCAGAAACGGGGGAGCCACCGTCCTCGAATGAAGAAATCTTGTTTATGAGAGTGTTTGAAACAACAGTCTGGAGCTGTGGCTCAGCGGCAGGCAGAGCACAGCCTGGCATGCGTGAGGCCCTGGGTTCCATCCCCAGCACTGCTGGACAATAAGACAAATGACAAACAGATGGCAGACAGACCAACTGACAGACGGACAAAGTCAACTTGATGCTCCTGCCGCCAGGACCGGAAAGTACCAAATGGCATGATGCTCAGTGGGGACATGGCAGGGAGCTGGAAGAAAGGGACAGCAGGGCTGCTCTTAATTAACTAATTAATGAACAGCAGGGTTGCTCTTAATTAACTAATTAATGAATTCCCTTTTTATTAAACACCCCAGCTTGCAGGGAAGTGCTTTTGGACAGTTGCATCTTCACGAAAAGAAAAAGCAGGATTTCCTTGACCACCCCAGCAGGAGCTGCACAGCCATGCCTGTGCGTGTGGGAGTGGGCCGCACTTGGTGGTGCTGGATCACTCAGACTCCGAATTCCCTGCCTGGAACATCCTCTGATACCACCTGCCTGCAGCTAGGCAGGCAGACACCACCCTCACAGACTCTGCTGCCTCGCTGTTCACTTGCAAAACTCAGGGCCTAAGCCCAGAGGGCATGGCCTGTTTATCCTTCCCTCGACCCCCTCCCCCTGCCCCTCCACCATACTACTGTGACCTGATA